TATTTTCGTTTTTGCTGTAAATATATATAATTTTTTTATATTCTGTATAATATTTTATGCTTATTGATTGCAAGACTTTTAATAAAGAAAAATTGGGAAGAATATCCCTTACATTGATGATCAGTGGGAAGGATGTCCCTTACATTGGTGGTCAGTGGGAAGAATGTCCCTTACATTGGTGATCAGTGGGAAGAATGTCCCTTACATTGATGATCAGTGGGAAGAATGTCCCTTACATTGATGATCAGTGGGAAGGATGTCCCTTACATTGGGGGTCAGTGGGAAGAATGTCCCTTACATTGGTGATCAGTGGGAAGAATATCCTTACATTGGTGATCAGTGGGAAGGATGTCCCTTACATTGGTGGTCAGTGGGAAGGATGTCCCTTACATTGGTGGTCAGTGGGAAGAATTACACCCTTACAGATAGCTAGAAAGATCAATGGTGTCAGCTGGAACATATCTGAGAGGCAGAATTTGGGTACTGCTTAAGGAACCCCTAGCAACCTCTGGAGGAACCTTAGGGTTTCACATGACCCTGGTTGAGAAACCTTGCATTAGAACTTACTGATCCATTCATTTGTGCCCATTCACAAGTGCTGATCTTTCTCCTTTTTCTATTGTAAGGGGAAGGCAAGGGATCAGCACTGTAAACCAATCTGTATGACCAATCACATGGTACCCAGCCCCTGGGTCAGCTGGGTACAGGGCCTCTGTGCACCCTGCTGTCTAATGACATGGCGATCACTCGCCAGATTGGCCACCCTACGGCTATTCAACCAGTACTGGTCATAAAAGGCACTGTGTAAATTAAGGACCGCCGATGAAAAACTCACCATGGTACGTAAATGGTTAAAATATACCTATACTCAAATGTGAACATAAATCTATATGAACAGTATGTTATGAGATATATAAAGAGCAGTAGAAAGATCTACTTCTACTGCATGGAAAATTGCTGCTCCAGATTACTTTTAGTGCTGTCCGCCATGTGTAAAAGGCTAGGCACACGGTCATGTGATCTCTACTAATGGGGTAGGGTGTCAGTCTGAATGGCGACGATCCCATTTCAGCAGAAATCACATGACCACACAAGACAGAGGAAAGCTTTTGAACAGCATTTTTTTTCCAATAAAGGAATGTGTTTTCTCCCTTCTATTACCCTTTATTTATCCATCTTGTCAAGATAACGGTCCACTTGGATGCATAAACAGTATCACCACCAGGGCCGGGACAAGGGGTGGGCAGCAGGGGTAGCTGCCATGGGTGCATTGTTTTTACTGTAGGGATGGGGGCACTGTCCTTTTGTTACAAGGCTGATAGGAGTAGTGATAGTGGCATCACCATCTGTCAGCCCAGTGCTGGGTGTGACGAAGAGAGAGCTGGGTGACGGTGCAGGCTGTCTTCTCTCCCCCCCCCTCTTGTGGTGGGACTGCATTGGAAAAACTGCACCAATGCAAAATCTTTGCCCTTTGATAACGTGCACGAGCACGAAACGCGTTAGAGAGGAGCCAAGCCAGCGATGTCGCGTGATTTTGTACCTTTTTGATATATTGTATGTTTCTACACAGGATATCACTACTGTACCTTGTGCGTCATATTTAGACGCTATTAACCATTAGCCGCCCGGCCAATGGCCGTTTGGCGGCTTCAGAAGTGCCTCTCCACTCCGGGTGCACGCCATTTGGCGTGCTCCCGCACATGCGCCGTTTGCGCTAATGCAGAGCGGCGCAGCAGTGCGATCTGTCACTGGCCGTGCACCTCGGACACGGCCGATGACAGATCCGAGTACCGGCTCCCGTTGCTGGTACCATGTGACCTGCTGTGACCAATCACAGCAGGTCACATGACAGTTGTATACAATGGATGGCTTCATTCATGATGCCATCCATTGTAACCTAGTGCCTAGCTGTGAATGGTCACAGCTAATCACATGCACATGTCATGTGATTAGCTGTGACCAAATCACAGCTAAGCACAAAAAAAAAAAAAAAAAAAAGCTGAATGAATCGATTTCATTCAGGTAAATGCTTGCTTATAGCAAAGTAATTCTTTGCTATAAGCAAATTGTGTAAAAAAAAAAAAAAAAAAAAATACTGATCACTTCCCCAAAGTAGTACAGTGTTACTATGGTAACATTGTACTACTTTGGTCATAGTAAAATATGAAAAAAAAATCTTAAAAAAAATGTAATAAAAGATTAAATATAATAAAAAATATATATATATATATATATATATTTTTTTTTTCATACTGTCACCAGTCAGTGTCCCTGTTCACCGCCATGCCAGTTATATGATGACGCTGTACTGCACTGGTGACAGTATGTAAAAAAAATAATAGTGAAAATTATTTTTTTAATTTTTTCATTTTCCGAAAAATTATGACAAAAAAATACAACTTCAAAAAACTCCCCATGCCTCTTATGAAGTACGTCGGACTGTCTACTCTGCAAAAAGGGGTCATTTGGGGATATCTGTACTATTCTGACATTCTTGGACCTCAAGAAATTAGATTGGCTGTCAGTACTTCAGGATTGATCAATAATCAGATCTATACCATAGTTTGTGAACTCTATAACTTTCCTACAAACTAAAAAATACATCCTAATTTGGGTTATTTTCACCAAAGACATGTAGCAGAATACATCTCGGCCTAAATTTATGAAGAACAATTATTTATTTGTAAACTTTTATAACAGAAACAAAGAAAAATGTGCTTTTTTTTTCAAAATTTTTGGTCTTTTTTTGTTAATTTAGCAAAAAATAAAAACTCCAGCGGTGATTAAATACCAACAAAAGAAAGCTCTAGTTGTGTGAAGAAAATGATAAAATTTTAGTTTGGGTACAATGTTGTATGACCGCGCAATTGTCATTCAAAGTGTGAGAGCGCTGAAACCTGAAAAATGGCCTGGGCAGGAAGGGGTAAAATTGCACGGTATTGAAACGGTTAACACTTTTATCCTAGCGCTCATGAAGCGCATTTTATAGTTACAATATTTTATGGGCTGTTTTATTAGTCTTATGTCATATTAGAGCGCTACATCCTTGTATACCAATGCAAAACCTGACTGACAGATCAGATGATTTTGACAAGTGACTGCTGAGCGTAGGATCATCATAAAGGAGGAAAGGGGGGGGGGGGGGGGACATTCTGGCATCTTTGCCCTGGGCGCTGGATGACCATGTCCCAGCACTGATCAGCACTATACTACTTTGCCCATTTCCCCAACAAGACATGAATCCATATTACCTTAAATCTTCGAGCCAGAAATTTATTCTTCATTTCCAGGTAGTTTCCTTTGTGTATCTCAGATTTAAAAGGCTCATTCAATATTAAGTAGCAAGGGTCGTTTTGTATATCCTGCCAGCGGGCATAGCCATGTCTGTAGGGGATAGCAATGAAGGACGACAACTGCTGGACAGACAATTATTAGTGATGCCACTTATGCCAGTCAACAATTAATCTGCAAACAAAGAGGGATTATCTGGAGGGAAGGCCATGCAATAATAAATACATCTCCTCCCGGAGTGAGTTAACCTTTAATTACCAATAAATAAAGAGCAAGGATCGGCACCCCGCTGGGTTACACTAGTTGTGATGAACACAGAGGAGCCTCATGCTGACTGTAATGAAAAGGTCATTATGGCTAGGAGTGATTTTAGGGGTTATTATCGCATAGCTGGTGCAGCATCCCGCGAGACAAAATAATTTAAATGTTTTTGGCATTTATAGAAGAGCTCAGATTAAAACAAAAAAACATAAGATGAGAGCTGGCAAAGCCCTCCTCTCCTCCTGAAGACTCCTGGGATATATGACATCATTTGCCTAGGCATGGAAACCAAGAAGATGCCCAAGAAATGTACAAAAAAAAAAAAAAGAAAAAAAAGAAAAAGGAAAATATAATCTACCTCCCTATTTACAAATGCTAGCAGTATAAGGATATAAGGATGGACACAGGGGAACACCGATCGTCATACGGGACCTCTGTGTGAGGTCCCAATCATGTGATCACTGATTGGCCAATCAGTGATCACATGCAGAGTAGTAAGCAAGATGTCACTTCTGACATCATTGCTTACTACATGTGAAATCTGTGAATGATCACAGAGATCACATGGTACAGGGCTATTCACAACAGCCTTGTACCATGTGACAAGCTGTGACCAATCACAGCTCACACAGTATTTCTCAATGGCTGCAGGAATGCAGCCAGAGAGAAGGAGAAATGATTGCTTTTACAGCCTTTATGGGTATAAAAGCAATCAGTGTAAAAAAAAAATTCTTCATCACCCCCCCACAAGTAGTACAGTGTCACCATGGTGACATTGTACTGCTAGGGTAACAGTATGTAAAAAAAACCCCACAAATAATAATATAAAAAATAAAATAAAAATGTAAAAAATAATTTTTTTAAAATTAAAATTTTTGGTTATTTTTGTTATAAACTAAATTGGGTTATTTTTTTTTACCAAAAGGATAACTGAATAAATTTTGGCCAAGATTTATGATGAAATATTATTTGGAAAATTTTTATAAAAAAAACACTTTTTTAAAAAATGTTTGGACTTTTTCATTTATATAGCAAAACAAATAAAAATCCCAGCGGTGAATAAATACCACCAAAATAAAGTTTTATCTGTTTCAAAAAAATGCTAAAAAATTAATATGGGTGCAGTGTTGCATGACCGCGCAATTGTCATTCAAAGTGCGATAGCGCTGAAAGCTGAAAATTGACCTGGACTGGAAGGGGGTGAAAGTGTCCGGACTGGAAGGGGGGGGAAAGTTTCCGGACTGGAAGGGGGGTGAAAGTGTCCGGACTGGAAGGGGGTGAAAGTGTCCGGACTGGAAGGGGGTGTGAAAGTGTCCGGACTGGAAGGGGGTGAAAGTGTCCGGACAGGAAGGGGGTGAAAGTGTCCGGACTGGAAGGGGGGGAAAGTGTCCGGACTGGAAGGGGGGGAAAGTGTCCGGACTGGAAGGGGGGGGAAAGTGTCCGGACTGGAAGGGGGGGAAAGTGTCCGAACTGGAAGGGGGGGAAAGTGTCCGAACTGGAAGGGGGGGAAAGTGTCCGGACAGGAAGGGGGGAAAGTGTCCGGACTGGAAGGGGGGGAAAGTGTCCGGACTGGAAGGGGGGAAAGTGTCCGGACTGGAAGGGGGGAAAGTGCCCGGACTTGAAGTGGTTAAGTAAAGGGAGACTGGAATCTGAAAGTCAGATCATGGCCTACACACCCACTGGCTGTCCTACATTCTGTTCTGCGAAGATGTAACAATCTTGGAAACCAATGAGAAGCACCAGCTGAAACATCTCTTAAAAATACTCAAATATCATCCGCTGTTGTGTTTCGCCGAAGGAACGCCTCAAAGGATACGTGACAATTCCAGCAAGCAACCAGTAATCGTGCCTCCTGTGCCATATGTCATAGATTTTGCCAGAAGAGACGGCGGCTCTTTCTTCATTCTGCCATAACGTATGGAGTTCTGAAACACAAAAGCAAATATTTATCATATATTTTTTTTTGTGCACTGTATATCAATAGGTTTGTGGACATCTGATCAGCACAGCTACCAATATGTCAATGATACAGCAGCATACAAAGACATTGTAGACAACTGTGCTCTTCCAACATTGTGGTAACAGTTTGGTGAAGACCCTTTTCTGTTCTACCATGACTGTGCCCCCGTGTACAAACCAGCTCCATAAGACATGGTGTGACCAGTCTGGCGTGAAAGAACCCAAGTGTCCTGTACAGGTCCCCGACCCTCAACCCAACTGAACAAATTTTGGATGAATTGGATCAAGACAGGTCTTCTCAACCAACATCTCCATGAATTTTGATGAGTCTGGTGTGGAGGACTCAAGTGTCCTACACAAAAACCCTGACCTCAACCCTACTGAACACCTTTGGTATGAATTGGAACACCGATGGTGGACCAGGTCTTCTCATCCAACATCAGTCCCGCCCTTAGAGGTTCATGAATAAAGAACTCTACCAATAATGATCACTCTCCTTTCCAAATGGATACACGATATGGCCCAAACGATGTAGACACTCCTGCAAATGATGGGGTTCAGGTGTCTCCAGTGAAGAAAATTGGCCTGGGCAGGAAGGGGGGAGGGAAGTGTCCGGACCTGAAGTGGTTAATGACCTCCTACCTTCCAGAATCGGTCCATTTTCAGCAGCAGTCAACAAAGAGGTCAGATCGGCCCAAAAAACTCAAATTTTAGTAAGGTGGAAACTGACAAAGAATTACTTGTCAGCTTTTCCCTGCAGTAGTTAATCTCCGCACCCTACCAGATGATAACAAACATGTAATTCTATGTCATGAGGAGGTGTGACACCATTGCTTGGCTTTGTAAAAATCGTGGCCAGTGGAAATAACTTAGAATTCTTATAAACAAAACAAACAAAAACTAAACAAAAAAAAAGACACACACACGCAACGCAAAAAAACCCCCACTGGGATTGATTTACTAAAAGGCAAATAGACGGCGCACTTAACTTAGTAAATGAGGGGAAGCTCTGCTCACTTCCATCATCCAATCATGGTTTTTTTCCCCCCTTTATTTTCTTTGCATGTGATTAGGTATTCTTTGTAAAGTGAAGCTTCCCCTCATTTACTAAGCTCTGGAGCAACTTCCCTTACAAAGTGCACAGTCTATTTACCTTTAGTAAACCAACTCTGTTAAAATACATTACCTGTGAACCCGCCATCTGCAATGTTAAACATAAATTTAAATTTTCCGCCATCTTCCTGTTTCCCGCTTTCATCTTCTTGTTTTACACACACAGTTTTTTCTCCATTTTGTTGCTTCACACATTCTTCTTTTTCCTCGGGTTTGCTGTCCTCTTCTGTAAAAAAAGAAAAAAAAAAATATTCAGAGGCATAATTTAATTTTTTAGGGGAGGGAAAAATCCATCCAACCAAGATGCAGGAAGGACATCTTTCTTTTATCAGAGTGTTCTCCAATTTGACTAAAAGTCAGGAAACCCCAACACACATTTCAATGCATGGTTTGTCGAAGACCGAAGTGTCTGAGGACACAAGATTACCATTTACAGTTTAAAAAAATATGTGATTATGCATATAGTTACATCGTTACTCTGGCTGAAAAAAGATGAAAGTCCATCCAGTTCAACGATTAAAAAAGTTATAATCCTACACCCACATTTGATCCAGAGGAAGGCAAAAAAAACCCAGCAAGCACGATCCAATTTGCTCCTACAGGGAAAAAAATTCCTTCCTGACCCCCCGAGAGGCAATCGGATATTCCCTGGATCAACTTTCCCTATTATAAATGTTATATCCAGTTATATTCTGTGTATCCAAGAAACAATCCAGGACTCTGATGACCTCAGGGTGAATAAATCTACACCAGTGGTTCTCAACCTTCCTAATGCCGTGACCCTTTAATACAGTTTCTCATGTTGTGGTGACCCCCAACCATAAAATTATTTACCCAGAAATTATAATTCATAAGTGTCGTTTTACCTCCAATACTGCTGCTTTCTACACAGTAGCTGCTTTTAACAGAGTAGCTGCTCTTTACACATCGGAAATATGTGTTTTCTGATGGTCTTAGGGGACTCCTGTGAAAGGGTCGTGGGGGTCGCGACCCACAGGTTGAGAACCACTGCTCTACACCGAGTTCACTATATGAACCACTGATGTATTTATACATGGAGATCATACCCCCCCCCTTATGTATTATACATGGAGATCATATCCCCCCCTTATGTATTATACATGGTGATCATATCCCCCCTTATGTATTATACATGGAGATCATATCCCCCCTTATGTATTATACATGGAGATCATATCCCCCCTTATGTATTATACATGGAGATCATATCCCCCTTATGTATTATACATGGAGATCATATCCCCCTTATGTATTATACATGGAGATCATATCCCCCCTTATGTATTATACATGGAGATCATATCCCCCTTATGTATTATACATGGAGATCATATCCCCCCTTATGTATTATACATGGAGATCATATCCCCCCTTATGTATTATACATGGAGATCATATCCCCCCTTATGTATTATACATGGAGATCATATCCCCCTTATGTATTATACATGGAGATCATATCCCCCCCTTATGTATTATACATGGAGATCATATCCCCCCCTTATGTATTTATACATGGAGATCATATCCCCCCTTATGTAATATACATGGAGATCATATCCCCCTTATGTATTATACATGTTGATCATATCCCCTTATGTATTATACATGGTGATCATATCCCCCCTTATGTATTATACATGGAGATCATATCCCCCCTTATGTAATATACATGGAGATCATATCCCCCCTTATGTAATATACATGTTGATCATATCCCCCCTTATGTATTATACATGGTGATCATATCCCCCCTTATGTAATATACATGGAGATCATATCCCCCCTTATGTATTATACATGTTGATCATATCCCCCCTTATGTATTATACATGGAGATCATATCCCCCCTTATGTATTATACATGGAGATCATATCCCCCCTTATGTATTATACATGGAGATCATATCCCCCCTTATGTAATATACATGGAGATCATATCCCCCCTTATGTATTATACATGTTGATCATATCCCCCCTTATGTATTATACATGGAGATCATATCCCCCCTTATGTATTATACATGGAGATCATATCCCCCTTATGTATTATACATGGTGATCATATCCCCCCTTATGTATTATACATGGAGATCATATCCCCCCTTATGTATTATACATGGAGATCATATCCCCCCCTTATGTATTATACTTGGAGATCATATCCCCCCTTATGTATTATACATGGAGATCATATCCCCCCTTATGTATTATACATGGAGATCATATCCCCCCTTATGTATTATACATGGAGATCATATCCCCCCTTATGTATTATACATGGAGATCATATCCCCCCCTTATGTATTATACATAGTGATTATATACCCCCTTTTTGTCTCAGTTTGGTTGCCCTTTCTCTGTACTTTCTCCAGTTTCCCCAATGTTCTTATTGTGAATTGTGCCCAAAACTGAACTGCATATTCCAGATGAGGTCTTACTATTGATTTGTACCGGCGGTGGGGAAGATGATATCTCTCTCTCTGGAGTCTATACCTCTCCTAATACAAGAGAGGATGTTGCTCGCTTTAGAAACCCGCAGCTTGGCATTGCTGCCATTAGTAAGCTTGTGATCTACCAGAACCCCCAGATCCTTCTCCACCACTGCCCCCCCCCCCAGGTTCTTCTCCACCATTGACCCCCCCCCCCCAGGTTCTACCCCCCTAGTATGTATGATGCATATTTTTAGTCCCCATGTGCAGAACCTTACATTTATCACCATTAGCCCTCATTGGCCCCATAGTCCCCCAATTACACAGAGCATTGAGGTCGGTCTGTAAGTTGGAGACATCCTGTAAGGACGTTATTTCCCGGCACAGCTTGGTGTCATCTGCAAAGACTGAAATGGGATTTATAAACCCAGATCCGATATTGTTAATATATAGATTAAAATGTAAGGGTCCCAACACTAAACCTTGGGGTACTCCACTAACAACAATGAACCTTGGGGTACTCCACTAACAACATTGAACCTTGGGGTACTCCACTAACAACATTGAACCTTGGGGTACTCCACTAACAACATTGAACCTTGGGGTACACCACTAATAACACTGATCCTTGGGGTACTCCACTAACAACATTGATCCTTGGGGTACACCACTGACACCCCTAGACCATTCAAAGTATGAATCATTAACCACTACTCTATGAATACGAACTTTTAGCCAGTTTTCTATCCATTTACATTCGGATTTTTCCAGCCCGTAGACTTTACCTTACACATTGGTCGTGTGTTGGGAACTGTGTCAAATGCTTTTGCAAAATCCAAGTACACCATGTCCACTGCCACCCCTCTGTCCAAGTATACCACGTCCACAGCCACCCCTCTGTCCAAGTATACCACGTCCACCGCCGCCACCCCTCTGTCCAAGTATACCACATCCACAGCCACCCCTCTGTCCAAGTATACCACGTCCACCGCCACCCCTCTGTCCAAGTATATCACATCCACCGCCACCCCTCTGTCCAAGTATACCACATCCATTGCCACCCCTCTGTCCAAGTATACCACGTCCACCGCCACCCCTCTTTCCAACTATACCATGTCTACCCGCCACCCCTCTGACCAAGTATACCACATCCACAGCCACTCTGTCCAAGTACACCATGTCCGCAGCCACCCCTCTGTCCAAGTATATAATGTCCACCGCCACCCCTCTGTCCAAATATACCACGTCCACAGCCACCCCTCTGTCCAAGTATACCACATCCACAGCCACCCCTCTGTCCAAGTATACCACGTCCACCGCCATCCCTCTGTCCAAGTATACCACATCCATTGCCACCCCTCTGTCCAAGTATACCACGTCCACCGCCACCCCTCTTTCCAACTATACCATGTCTACCGCCACCCCTCTGACCAAGTATACCACATCCACAGCCACCCCTCTGTCCAAGTATACCACGTCCACCCGCCACCCCTCTGTCCAAGTATATCACATCCACCGCCACCCCTCTGTCCAAGTATACCACATCCACAGCCACCCCTCTGTCCAAGTATATCACATCCACCGCCACCCCTCTGTCCAAGTATACCACATCCATTGCCACCCCTCTGTCCAAGTATACCATGTCTACCGCCACCCCTCTGTCCAAGTATACCACATCCACAGCCACTCTGTCCAAGTACACCATGTCCGCAGCCACCCCTCTGTCCAAGTATACAACGTCCACCGCCACCCCTCTGTCCAAGTATACCACGTCCACAGCCACCCCTCTGTCCAAGTATACCACGTCCACCGCCACCCTCTGTCCAAATATACCACGTCCACAGCCACCCCTCTGTCCAAGTATACCACGTCCACAGCCACCCCTCTGTCCAAAGTCTTGCTCACCTCATCATAAAAAGAAATCAGATTTGTTTGACAACTTCTGTCTTTCATGAATCCATGCTGTCTGTTGCTTAAAAATATTTGTTTCCAGTAAGAACTCCTCTATGTGGTCTTTTATTAAACTCTCCAATATCTTCCCAACTATAGAAGTTACACTAACAGGTCTACAATTACTTGGGAAAGATTTTGACTTGTCAGATATGTTATGTCCCCTTACTTCAGGATACTCTGCAGAGTTCTCCCCCCTTACATCAGAATACTCATCAGAGTGCCCCCTTCAGGATACTCAGAGTGCCCCCTTGTATCAGGGTCCCCACCAGGATCCCCCTTACATCAGGGTCCCTGTCAGAGTGCTTCCTTACATTAGGTGTCCCTACCAGAGTACCCCTTACATCAGGTATCCCCACCAGAGTCCCCCTTACATCAACTGTTCCTATCAGAGTGCCCCCGTCAGGATACTCAGAGTGCCCCCTTGTATCAGGGTCCCCACCAGGATCCCCTTTACATCAGGGTCCCTGTCAGAATGCTTCTTTACATCAGGTGTCCCCACCAGAGTCCCCTTTACATCAACTGTTCCCATCAGAGCGCCCCCTAACATATGATCAGTTACTCCATTAGAATGCCCCTTTACATCAGGTTTCTGAATCAGAGTGCCCCTTTAGATTAATTGTCCCCACAATACTGGCTCATGGATCAGTGTATGCACTTTCAGAGACCTGGGTGAGGGGCGCTAAATTAAAATCTTGGTGGCACAGCCCACCTCATCACCCCCCTAGATCCAGCCGTGCCTTTTTTGCAATACAGTTTTATAGTGTGTCTACACTTAGAGGAGCTTCTCTGCAGCGTACTCCAGATACACAAATATGCAGCCCCATGGGGAAAAAAGCCCAGTCCAGTGTGGCCACATATTTGCAAACACTCGGAGTCAAGGGGTTAAGGGCTCATTCAGACAATGTCTGCGTTTGGATCTGTGCACCTGTTCCTGCCCTCATGTCAAATTTTTGACACACGTCTGTGCCCGTGCAACCGCTGCATCTACTTCTATGGGCTGCTTGTGCACAGCTCCAAGGTGGATGAACACACAGGATAGAGGATGGGTCTCAACAACCATCACAATGAGCCCTAAAAAGGAAACTACTGTTTCTCCTAACAAAAATGCTGGATGCTTGGCCTCCATACTGTGAGCTGAGGCTGGAACAAGCATGCAGCTTCTGAACTCCAGCTATGCATACTCCATCCGGGTCAGTTTCTCAGGCACTAAACCCTCGGATAAACACCAAAGCTTGGTCATGAGCGTTTTTAACCACCCATCCGGCCGTTTATATACATGGCCCGGAGGGGGAGCAGTGCAGGGGCAGGTGGTTGTTTATAAATGTTCGCCCCGCCCACTGCTTGTGCATGCTCCCTGGAAGCGCGCAGCACCGCAATCCAGTGTCCGCTGTGTCCTCCGGACACAGTGGAACACTGATCGTTGTACGGGATCTCTGTGTGAGGTCCCGATCATGTGATCACTGATTGGCCAATCAGTGATCACATGCAGAGTAGCAAGCAAGATGTCACTTCTGACATCATTGCTTACTACGTGTGAAATCTGTGAATGATCACAGAGATCACATGGTACAGGGCTATTCACAACAGCCTTGTACCATGTGACAAGCTATGACCAATCACAGCTCACACAGTATTTCTCAATGGCTGCAAGAATGCAGCCAGAGAGAAGGAGAACTGATTGCTTTTACAGCCTTTATGGGTTTTAAAAGCAATCAGTGTAAAAACTGTGACACTGTACTGCTAGGGTGACAGTATGTAAAAAAAACCTCATAAATATTAATATAAAAAAAATAAAATAATAATGTAAAAAAAAATTTGAAAAAAATTATAATTTTTGGTTATAAACTAATTTGGGTAATTTTTTTTTTTACTAAAAAGATAACGGAATACATTTTGGCCAAGATTTATGAATAAAGATTATTTATTTGCAAAAGTTTATAAGAAAAAACACTTTTTTTCAAAATTTTTGGACTTTTTCATTTATATAGCAAAAAAATATAAAAATCCCAGTGGTGAATAAATACCACCAAAATAAAGTTTTATATGTCTCAAAAAATTCAAATGGGTACAGTGTTGCATGGCCGCGCAATTGTCAAAGTGCTGAAAGATGAAAGTTGGCCTGGACTGGAAGGGGGGGGGGGGGAAGTATCCGGACTGGGGGGGGGAAAGTGTCCGGACTGGAAGGGGGGGAAAGTGTCCGGACTGGAAGGGGGGGAAAGTGTCCAGACTGGAAGGGGGGGGAAAGTGTCCGGACTGGAAGGGGGGGAAAGTGTCCGGACTTGAATGGGGGGGGAAGTGTGTCCGGACATGAAGTGGTTACAGCAGAGCTCAGTGAGGACGGGCTACATATATTCTCAGTGCAGGTTAGCTGTAATAGAATGGAAAGCAGAAGGTGTCACCATCAATGCCATTTGGAGGTGTAGACAGCCGGACGTACCTGACTTAGGTTCCTTGTCCTCTATTTTGGTCTGAGTGCTGTTCAGTCCTGTTTTTTCCAATGATTTTTCTTCTTGAATTGCTTCAGCTGTAAAAGGGATCAGTGTGAACTTTACATGGTATACGTGATTGGCCGTGATCAAAGCTATAGTTCATTTCAATGATCTGTAATGGAGGTGTCTGGCCATGTTCATACATGCCTTTAGGAGTCTGCTCAGTAGAGTCTTTTTCCTCGTCTTCTTCAACACCATCGTTTACTTGCTTTTCTTTACCTTCTAAATGTTCACTTTTCTCTTCAGGTTCTTCCTTCTCCAGTTTGGTTGCCGGCTTAAAAAAAAAAAAAAAAGGTATATTACATAAAACCACTTCAACACCCGGCCAATTCTGAATCTTCTCACATATATGTAAAAGTCTATATATGTAAAAGTCTTTTTTTTTTTAGTTAGAAAATTGCACAGAACCCCCAAACATTATATGTTTTTTTTAGCGGGGGGTCTGGAGAATAATATGGTGGGTGTTGCAATTTTTTATGTCCCACAGTATCTGCGCAGTGGTTTTTTGCAAACACTATTTTTCTTTTTTTAATCACTTCCTGTCCGGCCTATGTACATAAACGGCCGGACGGGAGCAGTGCAAGGGCGGGCAGCTGTTTATAAATGGCGCCCGAATTAACAGCCTGTGCGAGCCCCCTGGGAGCACGTGGCACCGTGATCTGGTGCCCGCTGAGTCTAGAGGAGAACACTGATCGCTGTACGGGACCTCTGTGGGGTGTGGGGGCGTGTATAGAAGGGGTTGTCCTATAGAGGGGTGTGGGCGTGTATAGAAGGGGTAGTCCTATAGAGGGGTGTGGGCGTGTATAGAAGGGGTTGTCCTATAGAGGGGTGTAGGCGTGTATAGGAGGGGTTGTCCTATAGAGGGGTGTGGGCGTGTATAGGAGGGGTTGTCCTATAGAGGTGTGTGGGCGTGTATAGAAGTGGTTGTCCTATAGAGGGGTGTGGGCGTGTATAGGAGGGGTTGTCCTATAGAGGGGTGTGGCGAGTATAGAAGGGGTTGCCCTATAGAGGGGTGTGGGCGTGTATAGGAGGGGTTGTCCTATAGAGGGAGTGTGGGCGTGTATAGAAGGGGTTGTCCTATAGAGGGGTGTGGGCGTGTATAGAAGGGGTTGTCCTATAGAGGGGTGTGGGCGTGTATAGAAGGGGTTGTCCTATAGAAGGGTGTGGGCGTGTAAAGAAGGGGTTGTCCTATAGAGGGGTGTGGGCGTGTATAGAAGGGGTTGTCCTATAGAGGGGTGTGGGCGTGTATAGGAGGGGTTGTCCTATAGAGGGGTGTGGGCGTGTATAGAAGGGGTTGTCCTATAGAGGGGTGTGGGCGTGTATAGAAGGGGTTGTCCTATAGAGGGGTGTGGGCGTGTATAGAAGGGGCTGTCCTATAGAGGGGTGTGGGCGTGTATAGAAGGGGTTGTCCTATAGAGGGGTGTGGGCGTGTGTATAGAAGGGGTTGTCCTATAGAGGGGTGTGGGCGTGTATAGAAGGGGTTGTCCTATAGAGGGGGTGGGCGTGTATAGAAGGGGGTTGTCCTATAGAGGGGTGCGGGCGTGTATAGAAGGGGTTGTCCTATAGAGGGGTGCGGGCGTGTATAGAAGGGGTTGTCCTATAGAGGGGTGTGCGGGCGTGTAAAGAAGGGGTTGTCCTATAGAGGGGAGCGGGGCGTGTATAGAAGGGGTTGTCCTATAGAGGGGTGCGGGCGTGTATAGAAGGGGTTGTCCTATAGAGGGGTGTGGGCGTGTATAGAAGGGGTTGTCCTATAGAGGGGGGTGTGGGCGTGTATAGAAGGGGGTTGTCCTATAGAGGGGTGTGGGCGTGTATAGAAGGGGTTGTCCTATAGAGGGGGGGTGTGGGCGTGTATGAAGGGGTTGTCCTATAGAAGGGTGTGGGGGCGTGTATAGAAGGGTTTGTCCTATAGAGGGGTGTGGGCGTGTATAGAAGGGTTTGTCCTATAGAGGGGTGGTGGTGGGCGTGTATAGAAGGGGGTTGTCCTATAGAGGGGTGTGGGCGTGTATAGAAGGGGTTGTCCTATAGAGGGGTGTGGGCGTGTATAGAAGGGGTTGTCCTATAGAGGGGTGTGGGCGTGTATAGAAGGGGTTGTCCTATAGAGGGGTGTGGGCGTGTATAGAAGGGGTTGTCCTATAGAGGGGTGTGGGCGTGTATAGAAGGGGGTTGTCCTATAGAGGGGTGTGGGCGTGTATAGAAGGGGTTGTCCTATAGAGGGGTGTGGGCGTGTATAGAAGGGGTTGTCCTATAGAGGGGTGTGGGGCGTGTATAGAAGGGGGTTGTCCTATAGAGGGGTGTGGGCGTGTATAGAAGGGGTTGTCCTATAGGGGTGTGTGGGCGTGTATAGAAGGGGTTGTCCTATAGAGGGGTGTGGGCGTGTATAGAAGGGTTGTCCTATAGAGGGGTGTGGGCGTGTGGGGCGTGTATAGAAGGGGTTGTCCTATAGAGGGGTGTGGCGTGTATAGAAGGGGTTGTCCTATAGAGGGATGTGGGCGTGTATAGAAGGGGTTGTCCTATAGAGGGTGTGGGCGTGTATAGAAGGGGTTGTCCTATAGAGGGGTGTGGGCGTGTATAGAAGGGGTTGTCCTATAGAGGGGTGTGGGCGTGTATAGAAGGGGTTGTCCTATAGAGGGGTGTGGGCGTGTATAGGAAGGGGTTGTCCTATAGAGGGGTGTGGGCGTGTATAGGAGGGGTTGTCCTATAAGAGGGGTGTGGGCGTGTATAGAAGGGGTTGTCCTATAGAGGTGTGTGGTGCGCGTGTATAGAAGGGGCTGTCCTATAGAGGGGTGTGGGCGTGTATAGAAGGGGTTGTCCTATAGAGGGGTGTGGGCGTGTATAGAAGGGAGGGGTTGTCCTATAGAGGGGTGTGGGCGTGTATAGAAGGGGTTGTCCTATAGAGGGGTGTGGGCGTGTATAGAAGGGGTTGTCCTATAGAGGGGTGTGGCGTGTATAAAAGGGGTTGTCCTATAGAGGGGTGTGGGCGTGTATAAAAGGGGTTGTCCTATAGAGGGGTGTGGGCGTGTATAGAAGGGGGGTTGTCCTATAGAGGGGTATGGGCGTGTATAGAAGGGGTTGTCCTATAGAGAGGTGTGGGCGTGTATAGAAGGGGTTGTCCTATAGAGGGGTGCGGGCGTGTATAGAAGGGGTTGTCCTATAGAGGGGTGCGGGCGTGTATAGAAGGGGTTGTCCTATAGAGGGGTGTGGGCGTGTATAGAAGGGGTTGTCCTATAGAGGGGTGCGGGCGTGTATAGAAGGGGTTGTCCTATAGAGGGGTGCGGGCGTGTATAGAAGGGGGTTGTCCTATAGAGGGGTGCGGGCGTGTATAGGAGGGGTTGTCCTATAGGGGTGTGGGCGTGTATAGAAGGGGTTGTCCTATAGAGGGGTGCGGGCGTGTATAGAAGGGATTGTCCTATAGAAGGGGTGTGAGCGTGTATAGAAGGGGTTGTCCTATAGAGGGGTGTGGGCGTGTATAGGAGGGGTTGTCCTATAGAGGGGTGTGGGCGTGTATAGGAGGGGTTGTCCTATAGAGGGGTGTGGGCGTGTATAGAAGGGGTTGTCCTATAGAGGGGTGTGGGCGTGTATAGAAGGGGTTTGCAACTTACAGGAGGCTAGTGACCAGATCTTCCAGTGGCGGTATAGTGACCCCTTACGGCCACTCATAATTGAGGGGTAACAAAAAGATATTTTCCTAAAGTAATCAAACAATCAGAGAGAAAATAGGCAGAACGTTGCTATATAATACATCTTCATGTGTAACAAATACAGTTTGAAGAGTCTGAAGCAAAATGTGGACATCAGCTAATCTGATTCTTTACAAAAAAACCAAAACAACAACAACAACAATGTAGTCACACGCGTCACGTCATGAAACCATTATCAGTAAACGCACCACTCGTAGTAAATGGACGGCTTTTCTCCTGGGATTACATCACAAGGTGGTTTTCACATCCACAGCGATTTCTAAATGGCTTCAAATTACATTTTAGTCTAAAAGGAATGGACACTTAGTGTGCTCTACAGAGGAGATGGGTTTATGGGGGTTTCTTGCCTTCACTTCTATCAAAAATTATTTTTTATTTGATTATTGTATGATGGGTTTGGGATGGAAAGCTTTAATCCCATATACAGATAGGCCATCAGGTATGTCGGTATGTTTCCTCAAGTGCAGGTACCACTATAATCCTCTTCTGTGATCCGCTGAAAATCTGAACAAGTCCGGACCAACTGTCACTGCTGTCCAATAGGCTCTGTCATCAGCAGGTGTACTGTCACTGCTCAGTGCAATGACAGTTGTTGGGGATTCACCAAGAAGTCAGGAAAAGTCAGAAAGGTTCCCTAACATTTGGTTCCCATGGATAGAATATACTTGTACTCCATACCACAAGATAATTACTCCAGACACTCCCTCCTCTACAACATGATCTGGCCTGAGGATCTCTTAAATATTTATTAGAGATCTGACATAGACTGGCCTTTTGGGGCTCATATGGCCCATATATCCAATTCCTGCTGAGCATCACTTTTCTTGGTGGAGCCCTTTGTGGGGCCCGGTCCCTGGTGAAGTGGATATCCCCGCCCTTTTTCTCATGCTTACTTACGGTATCTCTTTCTGCATCACCCCCCATCCCGCCCTTTCTAATACTGGCCTCTCCCCAATGGGCACATCACGCACCTCCATCTTTTTATTATGACACAGAATTGATAAAGTGCCAACAGTTTGCTAAACGCTTTACAATAGAGACAGATTTCCCATTAGGCACTGGAGAGAAAGAGGAGAGAGGGAGGGAGGAGGAGAGGGGGGGGGGAGAGAAGAAGAGGGAGGGAGAGAGAGAGGAGAGAGGGAGGGAGAGGGAGAGGGAGGGAGAGGGGGGGGAGAGAAAGAGAGAGGGGGAGGGGGAGGAGAGAGAAAGAGGGAGAGGAGAGAGAAAGAGAGAGAGGGGGAGGAGAGAGAAAGGAAGAGGGAGGGGGAGAGGGGGAGGAGAGAAAGGGAGAGAGGGAGAGGGAGGGAGAGAGAAAGAGAGAGAAGAGAGAGGGGGGAGGGAGAGAGGGGAGAGGGGAGGGGAAGAGAAAGGAGAGAGGGGGAGGGGAGAGAGGAAGAGAGAGGAGAGGGGGGGGGGGGAGAGGGAGAGAGGAAGAGAGAGGAGAGAGGGGGGAGGGAGAGAGGAAGAGAGAGGAGAGTGGGGGGGAGGGAGAGAGAAAGAGAGAGAGGAGAGGGGGGGGGGGGGGAGAGGAAGAGAGAGGAGAGAGAAAGGAAGAGAGAGGAGAGAGGGGGGGAGGGAGAGAGGAAGAGAGAGGAGAGAGGGGGGGGAGGGGGGGAGGAAGAGAGAGGAGAGAGAGAGGAAGAGAGGAGAGGAGGGGGGGGGGGAGGAGAGAAGAGAGAGGGGGAGGGAGAGAAGAAGAGGGAGGGAGAGAGAAAGAGGAGAGAGAAAGGAAGAGGGAGGGAGAGAGAAAGAGAGAGGGGGGGAGGAGAGGGGGGGGGGAAAGAGAGAGGAGGAGAGGGGGGAGGAGAGAGAGGGGGGAGGGAGAGAGGAAGAGAGGGGGGAGGGAGAGAGGAAGAGAGAGGAGAGAGAGGGGGAGGGAGAGAGGAAGAGAGAGGAGAGAGGGGGGGGGGGGGGAGGAGGGAGAGAGGAAGAGAAAGGAGAGAGGAAGAGAGAGGAGGGGGGGGAGAGGGAGAGAGGAAGAGAGAGCAGGGGGGGGGGGGGAGAGAGGAAGAGAGAGTGTCCTGCAGAGAGCCCTGATCTCAACCCTAAATTCAGATTGTGATCCAGGTCTTCTCATCAGTCGTTATCTTGGAGGTTCATGATGGAAGATCTCTACCAATAATGGTAATAGGGTCATCTCACTCTAAACTGATACACTATATGGCCCAAAGGATTTGAACCCCCCCCCCCCCCCTACAAATGATGGAGTTCAGTGGCCCGCACAGGAACCCAGCTCCAACTCAATTAAACATCTAGGATTTTGGGGGATTCATTGTAAAATGGATTACAAACTAGGTCTTCTCCAACATCATTACCCATCCTCACAAATGCTGTTTTGGTAGAAGAGTGGAGGCCATGGGTGGAGCTTGAGGGCTCGCAGGAGTCGCAATGGTACCCCTGCCCATAGCCCAGGGGGTCCCGTATGGTTTTTTTGTTACTGTGATGGGAGTCACTTTGGGTGGGGGGGGCCCATGGAACAAAGTAGTCTATTTCCTGGTGTACTTCAAATCTGTGGTGTCTGTGGTCGGTGTTCGGAAGGGAAGCGGTATTCTAACGGCAGTACTCAGCACAGGCCGGGACGGTTCCATTACAGTCACATTAGGATTTACACTGTCGCTGGGGAAAAGCACTTGCTGCATCACCCTGCATAGGTAATTCAGTAAACTCAGAGAGCCCGGGCCAGCTGGGCAGGGGCCCACACAGGTCCTCTGAGTTTCCGGTTTCACCTACACAGGGTGACGGAGAAAGTTATTTTCCCCATTGGTGCACTCTCTGCTCAGCCCCCCCAACCAGTTCAGTACAGACCCTCCCCGTTCTGCTCAGCCCTGCTGGACCGTGCACGTGCACACAAGATGGGCACGTGCAGGCCACACTTCCAGCTGCCGGGTGAAAGTGGTGGGCTTGTATGTGAATCTGGAAGTCAGAGGGCCCGGGCCCACCCGCCCGACGCTGGGCCCTCTGAGTTTCCTCTTATAGATACAAGCCCACTGCTTTCACCCGGGAGCCCAGACCTCGTATGCACGTGCAGCAGGAGAAAGAGAAGAGAGACAGTGAGACAGCCACCATACAGTCACAGACCATCTTTGCAGACCTCCCAACTCTTGGTTTGAAGTGGCAGATGCTGGTGGGGGGGGGCCCAGGTCAACTTTTGCATTGGGGCCAACAAGCTTCAAGCTACACCTCTGGTGGAGGCTGTTAAAACCACAAACACAAAGGCGAAGGTTGTTAGAGGTGGTGCTGAGGATGCAACTATAATACTGCCCGCTGGTTCTGACTAGCATGTCCAATGAGTTCATACAGGCATGAGGGTCAGGTCAGCAAAAACATGTCATCATAAAGTGGACATCATGTGAGAAACAATGGCGTGCTCGGGGAACGATGAATATCTCACCGGAGGCTCTGACTGCTGTACGGACTTCTGATCCGCGCTGTCCACTTCCTCAGGTAACAAAGATGGCGTCTCACTTTTATCTAGGGAAAAAAATATATAAATTCAGATGCAACTCTTCCACAGCACACTATTTACATTCATTTTGCTTAAATCATTTCTGCCTTTTTCAGTCTTCCGTGTTACGATACATTGCAGGTCACTAGGAACACTTCGGGGTAGACATGAGTCTGCAGACGTGTAACCTATTCAGACATAGAGCTATCAGCCATAACATTATGACCACTGACAGGTGAATAACATTGATTATGTTGGGACAATGGAATCTGAAAGTGGGCGGGATCTATGAGGCAGCAAGTGAGCATGTTGTCCCTGAAGTTGATGTGTTGAAAGCAGAAAAAATGGGCAAGTGGAAGGATTCTGAGCAACTTTGACGAGGATCAAATTGTAATGTCTAAATGACTGCCACTCCTCTCTGCCAATCCCTGCGCTGGCCTCCACTCAGTGTCTTCCATCCCTCGCTGCCAATCCCCACTGGCCTCCACTCAGTGTCCTCCACCCCTCTCTGCCAATCCCTCCACTGGCCTCCACTCAGTGTCCTCCACCCCTCTCTGCCAATCCCTGCACTGGCCTCCACTCAGTGTCCTCCACCCCTCTCTGCCAATCCCTCCACTGGCCTCCACTCAGTGTCCTCCACCCCTCTCTGCCAATCCCTCCACTGGCCTCCACTCAGTGTCCTCCACCCTTCTCTGCCAATCCCTCCACTGACCTCCACTCAGTGTCCTCCAGCCCTCTCTGCCAATCCCTCCACTGACCTCCACTCAGTGTCCTCCACCCCTCTCTGCCAATCCCTCCACTGGCCTTCATTCAGTGTCCTCCAGCCCTCTCTGCCAATCTCTCCACTGGCTTCCACTCAGTGTCCTCCACCCCTCTCTGCCAATCCCTCCACTGGCCTCCATTTAGTGTCTGCTACCCCTCTCTGCCAATCCTTCCACTGGCCTCCATTCAGGGTCCTCCACCCTTCTCTGCCAATCCCTCCACTGGCCTCCATTCAGTGTCCTCCACCCTTCTCTGACAATCCTTCCACTGGCCTCCACTCAGTGTCCTCCACCCCTCTCTGCCAATCCCTCCACTGGCCTCCACTCAGTGTCCTCCATCCCTCTCTGCCAATCCCTCCACTGGCCTCGGTAGATATTTTGTACATTTTGTACATGTGTCCCCAGCTTTACCCCTACTCCCCCTTGGGCATGGCTTTTCATCACGTTGTAAAGCGCTGCGCAAACTGCTGGCGCTATATAAATCCTGTATAATAATAAAATAATAAATTTCTGAATTTTCGTCCAGTAAAGCCGGCCAAACATGAATTGAAATGTGGCCAGTTTAGCAGGGCCAGACCAATTCCCATCCATGTATGAAATATATTTTGAAATCCAGTGATTATGGCCAAAATTGTAGCATTTCAAATATATGTCAATATATTTGGCAAGAATATTTTTTAAATATATTTTTCTTCCATATGGGTTTAAAGGGCTTGTGGGCGGGGTTTAGAGTCATGTGACTGGCATAGCAGTCATATGATTGGAAAGCTCCCAATCGCAAATAGCGATTGAGACCTTTCCGTGAGGCGCCGGTAAATGTGCTGGGAGCGCGCAGGGACATGTTTGTTTACATTGGGTACGCAAATATGCGGCCTCTTTGTGTCAAGGTCCAGCCGCCGAGAGGCCGCATATTTGCGTACAGTTGGCGCCAAGGAGTTAAGATCCTCCCACGGTGCAATTTGGCCACACCCATCGCTCGATGCAGTTCAGTGAAGGAAGGTGGGGGGGGGGGGGGGGGTTGAGTTCCTGCACCTGCTCTTTGAGCAAAAAAGAAAGATATAAAAATAAATATATATATTTACAGATTTTTAGTTTCACAGATGCCACCGGCCCTTTTGAGGCAACCATAATGCTGAAGTGGCCCCTGATGAAATGGAGTTTGACACCCTTGCCCTATGGGCTGCCTAACTGCTCAGCAACACTTATTTCCAGAACACAGCTGACCCATTTAGCCTATGAAATGTCTCAAAGACAACTGAAAGATTGTGTACCTGAAAAAGCCACAGCACCTGGCTGTATGGGAGCGGGACTGGCTGGAACCGGCGTGGTGGGATCTGAAGAAACCATGTCAAAACATTTCCTGTTCTCCGTTCCCTCTGGAATCATATCCGGAGTGCTGTACTTGCCATTGACCTGTTCAAATTCCTGAACCTTGAAACAAACAAACAAACAAAAAAAAAGAATCAGAACACAAATTAATCTTCACCCTCTTTTCTATAGTTCGCTGCTACAATAGATAACAAGCAAAGCCACAGATTCTTGTTGATGAGTTTTGTAAATATTGGTGACGTCACATCATGGAATTGTACATTAGTTTTCCTTTTTTTTTTTAATATGTCTGAAAGGAGATGGAATTGATTTACATTATTTATTTATTTCAGGTACTTATATAGCGCCGTCAATGTACGCAGCGCTTTACATATATATTGTACATTCACATCAGTCCCCGCCCCTGAGGAGCGTACAATCTAAGGTCCCTAACTTACATTCGTACATACACATACTAGGGGACTATTTAGACAGGATCCAATTCACCTACCAGCATGTCTTTGGAGTGTGTGGGAGGAAACTGGAGTACCCGGATGAAACCCACGCAGTAACAGGGAGAACATGTAAAACTCCAGGCAGGTGGTGCCGTGGTTTGGATTCAAACCAACGACCCTAGTCCCTAACCCTCAAGGGGGGTACAATCTAAGGTCCCTAACTCCCATCATACATACACATACTAGGGCCAATTTAGACAGGAGCCAATTCACCTCCCAGCATGTCTTTGGAGTGTGGGAGGAAACCGGAATACCCAGAGGAAACCCACGCAGGCACAGGAAGAACATGCAAGCTGCAGGCAGGTGGTGCTGTGGTTGGGATTCAAACCAATGACCCTAGTCCCTAACCCTCAAGGGGCGTACAATCCAATTCACCTACCAGTATGGCTTTGGAGTGTGGGAGGAAACTGGAGTACCCGGAGGAAACCCATGCAGGCATGGGGGAGAGCAGGCAGGTGGTGCTGCAGTTGGAATTTGAACAAATGACCCGAGAGCTGCCAGGTGGAAGTGCTAACCATTTAGCCACTGTGCTGCCCCGAATTTATTTATTTCAGGTACTTATATAGCGTCATCAATGTACACAGCGCTTTATATATATATATTGTACATTCACATCAGTCCCCGCCCCCGAGGAACATGCAATCTAAAGTCCCTAACTCACATTCATACATACACATACTAGGACCAGTTTAGACAGGAGCCAATTAACATCCCAGCATGTCTATAGAGTGTGGGAGGAAACCAGAGCACCCGGAGGAAACCCATGCAGGCACACGCACACATCAACCCTTATGTGGTTGATCTGTGTAAAATGATTGGAAAGCCTTGTTTTTCTGTACAGTTTGTGATTAACCTCTTCACGCTGGCAGCACACAAATGTGCGGCCTCCCGGGTCTAGGCCTAGATGCCGAGCGGCAGCACATTTGCATTCTATTAGAAAAGGACATATGTGCTGAGAGCGCGCGCCCTGCCCGCTCCCAGCACACATGTCCGGTACTCACGGAAAGGTCCCAATCTCCTCTTTCGATCGGGACCTCTCCCGATCATGTGACTGCCGTGACGCGCCGTAACGGCGATCACATGACCTTAAACCCCGCTCCGCCTCTCAGCTTCTGGAACCCTTAAAGGGCCAGGAGGCACCGGCGTGAAGGGGTTAAATATGGGCATTGAGATGGTCATGTTTGCTCAAAACATACACGGGTTCTGTTTCCATATTTGCGGTGCTACACAATGGGGGGGAAAATTTACTAAAACTGGAGAGTGTAAAATCTGGGGTGCAGCTGTGCACGGGAGCCAATCAGCTTCTAACTTCAGCTTGTTCAATTAAGCTTTGAAAAAAAGAAAATAAAATGAAGCTGATTGGCTCCCACATTCTGCACTCTCCAGTTTTAGTAAATCAATCCCATTGGCTGTGCACTGTTCCTTCTCACAAAGGAAGCCTAGGAGTCTGCCGGGGAACAGCTGTGTTTGTGTGTCTGTTTTGTATGTATATTATTTTGGGTATAAATTATTGAGTATTTTTGTAGTGAATACAATGCATGCCCAGATATCGTATCTCCACAGCACAGGTATTGTAGTGAAGTACACAGCTCCCTCTTCTGGCTACTCTACAAATCTCTATATTTAAAGGATAAGTTCACTTTTTCACAAAAAAATAATAAAATACAGGTAAAAAAAAATATGTGCATTTATTATTTTCTGTTAGGAGCCTGGAAAGCATTGCACCAGCAATCAGCATATCGCTGATGCCATACAGATCTCCTGCAGACCTGTCAGTGTAGCTGCTTGCCTGTCCCTTGTATGGGCACGTCAATACTTACTGACAGGAAGAATCGATGAACTACCACACCGCTTCACTGAGCTTCACTGAGCACTGCAATACGACAGCCACAGAGGCTGCTGGGACTTGTAGTTTTCCTATTCACAGAACATTGTGACTGAGTGGCATGGTCAGAGCCCGGCACGGATGCATTTTCTATACGTTTTGACAGCTAGCAGGGGGTCAAGATCTCCCCAGCTGTAAAAATGGGGGATGGGGGGGGGGGTCGGTCCTTTTGTAACATATTATGCCCTGAGTATGGGTGTAACATGTTACGAAAAGTGAACTTATCCTTTTAACCACTTCCCGTCTGGCCCATGTATATAAACGGCCGGACGGTGGCAGTGCAGGGGCGGGTGGCTGTTTATAAAGGGCCTCCCCACCTCCTGCTTGTACGTGCTCCCTGGGAGCGCGCGAGCAGCACCGCGACCTGCTGCCCGCTGTGTCCTCCGGACACAGTGGAACACCAATCGTTGTATGGGACCTCTGTGCGAGGTCCTGATCATGTGATCACGCATTGGACAATCAGTGATCACATGCAGAGTAGTAAGCAAGATGTCACTTATGACATCATTGCTTACTACCTGTGAAATCTGTGAATAATCACAGAGGTCACATGGTACAGGGCTATTCACAACAGCCTTGTACCATGTGACAAGCTGTGACCAATCACAGCTCACACAGTAGTTCTCAATGGCTGCAGGAATGCAGCCAAAGACAAGGAGAAATGATTGCTTTCACAGCCTTTATGGGTGTAAAAGCAATCAGTGTAAAAAAAAAAAATCTTCATCACCCCCCACAAGTAGTACAGTGTCACCATGGTGACACTACTGCTAGGGTGACAGTATGTAAAAATTAATAAATAATAATCTAAAAAAACAAATAAAAATGTAAATTTTTTTTTTTTTTAATTATAATTTTTGGTTATAAACTGATTTGGGTTATTTTGTTTTTGCTAAAAAGATAACGGAATACATTTTGGCCAAGTTTTATGAAGAAAGATTATTTATTTGCAAAATTTTATAAGAAAAACACTTTTTAAAAAATTTTTTGGACTTTTTCATTTATACAGCAAAAAAATTGAAAATCCCAGCGGATTAAATACCACCAAAAGAAAGCTTTATCTGTCTAAAAAAATGCTAAAAAATTCATCTGTGTACAGTGTTGCATGACCGCGCAATTGTCAAAGTGTGATAGCACTGAAAGCTGAAAATTGGCCTGGACTGGAAGGTGGTGTAAGTGTCCGGACTGGAGGGGGGGGGGGGAAGTGTCCGGACTGGAAGGTGGTGAAAATGTCCAGACTGGAAGGGGGGGAAAGTGTCCGGACTGGAAGGGGGTGAAAGTGTCCGGACTGGAAAGGGGGGGGGGTGAAGTGTCCGGACTGGAAGAGGGGGGGGGGGAAAGTGTCCGGACTGGAAGGGGGGAAAGTGTCCGGACTGGAAGGGGGTGAAAGTGTCCGGACTGGAAGGGGGTGAAAGTGTCCGGACTGGAAGGGGAGGAAAGTGTCCGGACTGGAAGGGGAGGAAAGTGTCCGGACTGGAAGGGGAGGAAAGTGTCCGGACTGGAAGGGGAGGAAAGTGTCCGGACTGGAAGGGGAGGAAAGTGTCCGGACTGGAAGGGGAGGAAAGTGTCCGGACTGGAAGGGGAGGAAAGTGTCCGGACTGGAAGGGGAGGAAAGTGTCCGGACTGGAAGGGGGTGAAAGTGTCCGGACTGGAAGGGGGGGAAAGTGTCCGGACTGGAAGGGGGGGGAAAGTGTCCGGACTGGAAGGGGGGGGAAAGTGTCCGGACTGGAAGGGGGGGGGGAAAGTGTCCGGACTGGAAGGGGGGGAAAGTGTACGGACTGGAAGGGGGGGAAAGTGTACGGACTGGAAGGGGGGGAAAGTGTACGGACTGGAAGGGGGGGAAAAGTGTCCGGACTGGAAGGGGGGGAAAGTGTCCGGACTGGAAAGGGGGGGGGAAAGTGTCCGGACTGGAAGGGGGGGGGGAAAGTGTCAGGACTTGAAGTGGCTAAAACGGAACTATACTCACCTTTTCTCCAGTGACGCAGCATCCTGGAGCTCCCCGCCGGCTGCTGACAACTTTGAGTGTATGGTATCCGGGTATCAGTCGATGGGCGCTTTCATTGGCTGGGCTGATATGACGTCACCACCATGCATACACCGCAGTTCAGTCAGCTTTGTATGGCCAATATTCTACAGTGAGCTGTAAAAATGGGGGATCGAGGGGAGCAGGGGCCGGTCCTTTTGTAACATACTACACCCTGAACATGAGTATAGCATGTAACATGTTACAAAAGGTGAACTTATCCTTTAAAGCAGAACTATACTGACCTTGGCTCCAGCGATGCAGCATCCTGGAGTCCTCTGCTGGCTGCTGACAGCTTTGAGCATCTGGCGTCCAGAATTAGTCGCTGGCACTTTCATTGGGAACGATATGACGTCACTACCACACATGCACTGCAGAGTGCAGCCCACTGTGGAGGGGCGGACAGGCAAGCAGGTAACTTTATTGACAAAGACAGTTGAGGGATACACAATAAAGTGGAACTAAACCTTCAGTGAAAAAAAGCAGGCAGCTTTTTATTGAGTGTCTCTTCAGAAAAAAACAAAACAAAAAGACTTACCTGCCAGTTCGCAAAGCTCTTTTGGTCATACTTCTGTAGGACACAGGATTTCACTTCTGTAACCCAGATTCAGCAACCAGCGAGCTCAAGTCCACTGTCAGCTGACGTCACAAAGCCGGTCCATGCTGTGCAGGGATCCCGACAATAATGTCGGAATCTGTCTAGATGCCTGACTGGCTGCTAAATAAGCCTCTCAGAGTCCGATGTTCCCACCCCCCTCCCAGTCCGGTGCTCCATTGAACGCTGGTGGGGCAGAGCACAGCGTGGTGACTGACTGTCACTGCTCCATGCTCAGAATGGACCCGAGAACTGAGCGAACAGCGGCCTTTGACCCACTGGCCAATCAAGAGGCCTAAAACCCGGCATCTGAAAGATATAAGCTGCCAGCGAGGGATCCAACTGTCGCATCACTGAAACAGAGGTGAGTGTTCTGCAGACGGTCATTCTGCTGTAACTACACAGAATCTCACTAATAAAACCTATATAGTTACATAGTTAGTCTGGCTGAAAAAAGACAAAAGTCCATCCAGTTCAACCATTAAAAAAAAAAGTTATAATCCTACACCCACAGTTGATCCAGAGGAAGGCAAAAAACCCAGCAAAGCACGATCCAATTTGCTCCTGCAGGGGAAAGAATTCCTTCCTGATCCCCCGAGAGGCAATTGGATATTCCCTGGATCAACTTTCCCTATAAATGTTATATCCAGTTATATTCTGTGTATCCAAGAAAGAATCCAGGACTTTCCTACAGCAATCCACTGAGCTGGCCACAACCAACTCTGGAGGGAGTCTATTCCACATTCTCACAGCTCTTACTGTGAAGAAACCTTTCCAATTTGCTCCTGAAGAAGAAAACAATTCCTCCCTGATCCCCCGAGAGGCAATCGGATATTCCCTGGATCAACTTTCCCTATAAATGTTATATCCAGTTATATTCTGTGTATCCAAGAAAGAATCCAGGACTTTCCTACAGCAATCCACTGAGCTGGCCACAACCAACTCTTGAGGGAGTCTATTCCACATTCTCACAGCGCTTACTGTGAAGAAACCTTTCCGTGAACTGGCTTATTGTCTGCGCTGACCAATCAATTTCTAGTGATTCAAGTGGAAGTTCGCTCTCTCAATCATCATTGACCATTCTGAATCCTTAAGATGCCAGCATTAGTAAATACACAGGAAGGTACAGTGAAGGAAATGTGTATTTGCCCCCCCTGATGGTGAATGTTTGCCCCTCACACAGAAATGATCGGTCTAACAATGGAATGTTCGCCCCTCACACAGAAATGATCTGTCTAACAATGGAATGTTCTGTGTAACACTGAGAGACAGAATACAACAACAAATTCAGCAGAAATGTGTCTAACAAATGATGACTGATCTGCATGTTCATGAGGGAAAGAAGGATTTGATCCCCTATCATTCAGCAGGATTTCTGGCTCCCAGGTGTCTCTCATGCAGGTAACAAGCTGAGATTAGAAGCAGTCTCTTAAAGGGAGTGCTGCTAATCTCATTGTGTTACCTGTATAAAAGACACCTGTCCACAGGAGCCATCAAACCATTAGATTCTAAACTCTCCACCATGGCAAAGACCAAAGAGCTGTCCAAGGATGTCAGGGACAAGATGGTAGACCTACACAAGGCTGGACTGGGCTACCAAACTATGGCCAAGCAGCTTGGTGAGAAGGTGACAACAGTTGGTGCAATCATTCACAAATGGAAGAAACACAAAACAAGTGTCAGTCTCCCTAGGTCTGGTGCACCATGCAAGATCTCACCTCGTGGAGTGTCAATGATCAATGTGAGTGGGCAAACATTCACAATCAGCAGGGGATCGAATACTTATTTCATTCACTGTATATCAAATGTATATATTTATAAGACAGGATCAGATTAACATACCTGGCATGTGACTTCAAACACCTACTCACCCACCTTCTTTCGGACCAGTGACATGACTCCGATCCTGGTGAGGACATGCTGGCGAGAAAGCCCTTCTCTCGGGACGCCGTCGGCAAAGGTTTCCGCCCCGTCAGCACCCGGTTCACAGAGGTGCCTCATAAACAAAGACACGTATGCCCTGTAATGATTTATTGACATGATAAACTCCAGGCACATGCATGAACATCCTAAAGTTCTTTTATGTATTTGGCTTGAGGTGATTGTAGCCGTATCAGTGCACTTCCGACAGAAACAATGGAGTACTGACGTGATACGTTTTTTATTTGCACTCACATACAATTTTGAGGACAAGCTTTCGGGGTATGTCCCCTTCTTCAAGGTCCAGGCAGTACTCAGCAGAGGGACAGAAGGGGACATACCCCGACAGCTTGTCCTCAAAATTGTATGTTAGTGCAAATAAAAAAAGTATCTCGTCCGTACTCAATTGTTTATGTATTTCGGAAGTCACCCACTTCTTTTTTTTTTTTCAGTTCATTCATTGTGTTTGCTTGAAATCTGTCTTCCTAAAACTAGTTTTTTTTTTTTTTTTAAACATCTCATACTTACAGCGCTGAGCAAACCCTTTGGCGCTATATAAACACTGTATAATAATAGTATAATAATACCTGCTCTGTGTAATGGTTTTGCACAGAGCAGTTGCAATCTTTCCCTTCTGGGGTCCCCTGCCGGTGCTACCCCCCCCCCCCCCCCGCACACACACACACCTTTTGAATTCCCCCGACAATGAGGGCACCTGCTTGGGCTCGATCCTGAGTCCCACTCTCTGTGTCCATTGACACACAGAGAGCATAGCTCAGCCCCGCCCACTGCTCTCTGACTAAGACTGACAGTACCAGAAGCCAATGGCTCCCAGTGCTTCCTCTCTGTCCAGTGAAGAGGGAGAGCAGCTGCTCTCATGCACAGCGCTGGATCGAGATCAGGTTCAGGTGAGTATAAGGGGTGTCCAGGGAGGAGGAGCTGCGTACAGAGCAGTGGGCAGGGCTGAGCGATGATCTCTGGCTAAGATTGACAGCAGCAGAAGCCAATGGCTCCCAGTGCTGCCTCTCTGTCCAGTGAAGAAGGAGAGCAGCTGCTCTCATGCACAGCGCTGGATCAAGATCAGGTTCAGGTGAGTATATGGGGTGTCCAGGGAGGAGGAGCTGTACGAGCAGTGGGCGGGGCTGAGCCATGCTCTCTGGCTAAGATTGACAGCAGCAGAAGCCAATGGCTCCCATTGCTGCCTCTCTGATCCAGTGAAGAGGGAGAGCAGCTGCTCTCATGCATAGCGCTGGATGGAGATCAGGTTCAGGTGAGTATAAGGGGCGGCCAGGGAGGAGGAGCTGCGTACAGCGCAGTGGGCGTACAGAGCAGTGGGCAGGGCTGAGCCATGCTCTCTGGCTAAGATTGACAGTACCAGAAGCCAATGGCTCTCAGTGCTGCTTCTCTGTCCAGTGAAGAGGGAGAGCAGCTGCTCTCATGCACAGCGCTGGATGGAGATCAGGTTCAGGTGAGTATAAGGGGCAGCCAGGGAGGAGGAGCTGCGTACAGGTTTTTTACCTTAATGCAGAGAATGCATTAAGGTAAAAACAAAACCCTTCTGCCTTCAGAAACACTTTAAAGTGATACTGAAGTCTTTCTTTAAAAAAATAAAAAACAAACACGTCATACTTACCTGCTGTGTGCAGTAATTTTGCACGGAGCAGCCTGGATCCTCCTCTTCTGGGGTCTCCTGCTGGTGCTTCTGGCCTCTCCCTCCTGTCAGGTGCCCCCACAGCAAGCGGAAGCGCTCCGGCTCTGCGTATCAATTCACACACAGAGTCACAGCTCGGCTCCACCCCCTCCTGATTGGCTCTCTGGCTGTGATTGACAGCAGTGGGAATCAATGGCTCCCGCTGTTGCCTCAGCCAATCAGGAGTGGGAAACAAGGCTCTTGTGGATATCGGTGGATTGGGATGGGGCTCAGGTAGGTGCTGGACGAGGGGGGGGGGGGGGTGATACAAGGAAGGTTTTTTACCTTCATGCAAAGAACGCATGAATAGCCTCTACAAACACTGTAGGTGGCTGCATTCCAGCTAAAAGTTGACATTGGGCTTACAGAGGGAGGGTCTGCTCTGTAAACTGATGGGGGAAATATTTAGATGAGCTGATGAGAGGAAGAGATCCTGACAAAATGTGCACCAAAGCAGGATGTGGCACAGTGGCAGGACTGCAGAGTAGGAAGCGGAGGAAGTCACATGACCCGTGACGCACCATGTAAGGCGGAAGCGTGGTGACGTCATATCCGGTACAGACGGCAGCTGCCATCTTGGTACTCCCTATCCTGTACACCTTTCCTGCAGTTGTTGGGGCAGTTATCTTGCCTGTATTGGTCTGTAGACCCTTTTTTAAATTTGAGTAGTCATTTTATAATGAAGTATTGGACATATTACACTATGGGAAGTCTTCTTACGTCCATGTGTGGATACTGGAGGTGACAAGAGGTCTGTGGCTATATCTGGAGCATGCCTGTGAGTGTTTGCCAGCGTCTTTCTTTGATTGCTATCGAGGATCATCCATCTGAGTTCATCGTTTGAGGCTTTCCGTATGCTTTATGACTTCTTGTGGGCCGCATTTTGGAGCTGAGCCCACGCTAGCCGGGGGAGGATTGATTCCATATATTTCCATCACTGGATGGTTCACCATTTGTGTTGAAGATCCCTTGTGTTCCTGTTTTTGGGATTGTCATTTTCCTTTTTGAGACTTATTCACTTTATCACATTGTGTTTCAATTTAACACGTCAGTTTTTTATTATCATCTTTTTTTTTATTATTATCATCTATATTTTGTGTTCACTTAGTCACTGGCACAATATTAGCACACTGTGCTGCCTTTATTGATGTTTGATATGGTCTGCAACTATCCATGTTTTTTTGCATATGTTGTTTTCACACTTGGATTCTTATTCCATTCATTTACTATTTATTTATGATTTATTCGTCATGTACTGAGCAGAGCAGCACCAATTCACTTGTCTTAGAGTCGGAAAAGTGTTGTCCCAATCCTCAGAATACAGATGAATATAACTGCACAGAGGTGTCTGGATCCTGAGAGTATAAGACTTCCTTTATGAATCTTTTGTTCTTATGAGTGTGGTGTAAAATCAGACATTTAGGCTTTTTTGACTGCAAAGAGGAGGCCACCGGTAATGTGCAATGATCTGTATTATTGGTTTGATTGCTCTGCTTTAAAGGTCCCTCTTGACCCATTAGAAGAACTTGTAAACTGTACGCCTGTAAACCCGGTGACCCCACATTAGCACAGTGCCGTTCAGTTCAGCAATGCTGATCGCTCCTCTGTTCATAGCGGGAAGGGAAATCTTCCTTTTGGGACACATGAAAAAAAAAAACAATGACGGTTTTAACTATTCCCCTCCTCATCCAAAATGAAGACATCAGGATGAGGCTGGTCACACACAGTCCAACAGACGTTGACAGATTTCATTGCTCTTTGTGAAGAATTACAATGTGTAGGGTAAGAGGAAGGAGCCTTTCTTAAAGTAGAATTCTGGACTAAACCATACTAAAGGCTCACGTTTCTTAACCACCTCCCGCCCGCCATATAGTAATATGAAGGACGCAAGATGGTTCTCTCGTTCTGGGAGGACGTCATATGACATCCTCCCATTCTCACCGCGCAATACCACCGAAATAAAGCTCTATCTGTCACAAAAAAATGAAAAAAATTTCATGAGTACAGTGTTGCATGACCGCGCAATTGTCATTCAAAGTGCGACAGCGCTGAAAGCTGGAAATTGGCCTGGGCAGAAAGGGGGTATAAGTGCCCTGTAGGTGAGGGGTTAAAGAGGAGTTCCACTCACCCTGTCAAAAAATGAAAGTAAGCAGCTACAATTTTTGAAGATGCCGGCCTCCTGGAATACAGGACGGCCGGTGAAACAGGCTGCGGGGGACACACCCCGGGACCGGTAAGTGGCTGTAAACCCGGTGACAGACACTTACCTGTCCCTCGGTCCCGCGGTGTGTCCCCCACAGCCCGTTTCACCGGCCGTCCTGTATTCCAGGAGGCCGGCATCTACAGTGTGGGCACCTGGCTGTGCAGCTTGCGGCTTCACAGCCGGGTACCCACTGCATGCGCGAGTAGCGATGCGCTTCATGAATGGTCCTGTAGTCTTGTGGGACTGGTCACGTGTCCCAAAAGATTACAGGGAGAGAGGGAGGAAGGGCACCTTCCACTAGGCGATCGGACAGGAAGTGGGGGTGGGTACCTGTCAAATTCGGGTACCCGCTCCCCCCCCCCAAAGGTGCTAATCCTTAATGGGGAGCGGGGGAGCATTCTTTAAAGAGGAACTTCCCCTTTTGGGTGGAGCTCCACTTTAACCTAAAGTAAAAAAAAAAAGAGGTTTATATTAACCTGCTCTGTGCAAGGGTATTGCACAGAGCACCCCCTTACCTCCTCTTCTGGGGTCTGCTCCATGTGCCCCCATAGCAAGCCACTTCCTAAGGGGTGCACTCCTGAGCTGGGCTGTATGCATCCATAGACACACACAGTGTGGCTCGGCCCCGCCCCCCTCCTTACAGGATTTGATAGACAGCAGCAGGAGTCAATGGCCTGCCTGTGACAGCAGAGAGAGACAGACAAGCGCTGCTGCAGACAGGCACAGCACTGGATCGATACAGGACTCAGGTAAGTATTTACGGAGGGGGTGGGCAGGAAGTAGGTTTTTTTGCCTTAGGTCTCTTTCACACGGACGTTCCAATCAGGTCTGGACCTGATCAGAACCTCTATTCTCCTCTATGGAGCAGCGGGTGTAAACGGACATGTGTCATCCGTCCGTTGGATCGTGTCAGATGGAAACGGACAGGTGGTCAGTCTTCATCCGACCATTGAGGACAGTGAGCTGCTCTGTGTCCGCTCTGCAGCACATTTGTTTATGGTCTTGTCTCCGCCCCCTCCTGTAGTTTCCTGCATGTAGCTTGCAGTGGGTGGTGCCTGCTGGTTCTTCCCACAGCTCTGCTTGCTCTCCTTGCACAGGCTGACTGGTCTGGTCTCCTCCCCCTTCTGTAGTATTCTGCATGCAGCCTGCAGTGGGTGGCACATGTTGGGTCCCTCCCACAGCTCTATTCTGTCTCTCCTTGTGCAGGGTGACTGGTCTTGTCTCCATCCCCTCCTGTAGTTTTCTGCATGCAGCCTGCAGTGGGTGGTGCCTGCTGGTCCCTCCCATAGCTCTGCTTGGTCTCCTTGCGCAGGGTGACTTGTCTGGTCTCCTCCCCCTCCTGAAGTATTTTGCATGCAGCCTTTAGTGGGTGGGGCCTGCTGGGTCCCTCCTACAGCTCTATTCTCTCTCCTTGTGCAGGGTGATTGGTCTTGTTTCCGACCCTTCCTGTAGTTTTCTGCAGGCAGCCTGTAGTGGGTGGAGCCTGCTGGGCCCCTCCTACATCTCTGTTCTCTCTCCTTCTGTAGAGTGACTGGTCGTGTCTCCGCCTCCTCCTGTAGTTTTCTGCATGCAGACTGTAGTGGGTGGCACCTGTCTGGCCACTCCCACAGCTCTGCTTTCTCTCCTTGTGCAGGGTAACTGATCTTGTCTCCGCCCCCCCCATAATTTTCTGCATGCAGCCTGTAGTGGGTGGTGCCTGTCTGGCCCCTCCCACAGCTCTGCTCTCTCTCTTTGTGCAGGGTGACTGATCTTGTCTCTGTCCCCTCCCATAGTTTTCTGCATGCAGCCTCTAGTGGGTGGCACCTGTCTGGCCCCTCCCACAGCTCTCTGCACAGGCTACATTCAGCGCAGTGATGATGTCATTTCTAATTTTACAAGGTCATAAATGGGTTTGCATAGACATTTGGTGGCCACATAGAATGTATTTCTTTTGTGGCTATTATTTCTATTGAGCTTGGAGTTCAGCTGGGTTCATGCTGCCGTCACTTGGGATCTGACTTGTGACACCGCAAGTCGCAGGAGATGTGAAATCCCATGTTAGTCAATGAGAGCTGTCTTAATTAGCACGACTGAAGTCTCTCCGACTTTAGAAAAGGTTCCTGTGCTACTTGAAGGTGACTTCTCTCCGACTTGTGCCCATAGACTTTAATGGAAGTCACCTCCAAGTCGGATCCTCGTCTATATTGATGTGATTTGGATCCGACATTACAGGAAGATTACCCAGCATTCCCTGAAAGCTGCTTCAGAGTTTCTTCAAACTAGTATTCAAGTTGCCTGGCAAAGTCGCACTGCAAGTCGTGCGACGTGAACCGAAACGGTGGCCACTGACACAGCACTGTTGTTCAATTCACCTAAAAGTGGCAAGGATGGTGGACTCTGACCTCGTGTGTGTTGCCACCCTAACTTAGGCAAATGAAAACCACTGAAGTTAAAGAAGGACCTACAAAATGTGAACATTTTAGACCTGCTGCATCCATGGAATCTGTCACCCAGGCCCTGGAACCAGGCTGCCACATTGTGGAAACCAAAATTTTAATCACAAATGAGGCAAGAGGACACAACAGTACCTGAATTCCTTCTCACTCTTTCCACGGAGGTCCCGGACCAGCCAGTGTGAATTGAAGGCATCCTGCGGAGGCATCCCCCATCTCATTATTGCATTTAAGAAGGCCTTACGTTGTCTAGCATTGAACCCAAGAACCTTAAGGAAAATGGAACATGTTTTAGTATTTTACTATTGGCTGTATATGTAAAGGTTTTACAAAGTCATTTGCGTACATCATCAACACTATATTGGCAAAAGTATTGGCCCCGCCCTCCAAATCATGTGATTCAGGTGCTCCAATCCCCTCCCAATCATGTGATTCAGGTGTTCCAATCCCCTCCATATCATATGATTCAGGTGTTCCAATCCCCTCCATGGACACAGGTGTATACAATCAAGCCCCTAGGCATGCAGACTGCTTCTACAAACATTGGTGAAAGAATGGGTCGCTCTCAGGAGCTCAGTGACTCCAAGCGTGGTCCCGTGATAGGTGGCCACCTGTGCAATAAGTCCATCCGTGACATTTCCTGGCTACTAAATATTCCACGCTCAACTGTTAGTGGGATTATAACAAAGTGGAAGCCACTGGGAGCAACAGCCACCAAGTGGTAGGCCACGTCACATGACAGGGCGGGGTCAGCGCATGCTGAAGCGCACAGTGCGTAGAAGTCACCAACTGTCTGCAGAGTCAATAGCTAAAGACCTCCAAACTTGGTGTGGCCTTCAGATGAGCCCAACAAAAGTGCGTAGAGAGCTTCATGGAATGGGTTTCCATGGCCGAGCAGCTGCATCCAAGCCTTCTATCACCAAGTGTAATGCAAAGCGTTGGATGCTGTGGTGTAAAGCACGCCGCCACTGGACTCTAGAGCAGAGGAGGCATGTTATCTGGAGTGACCAATCACGCTTCTCTGTCTGGGAATCCGATGGATGTCTCTGGGTTTGGCGGTTGCCAGGAGAACGGTACTTGCCTGACTGCATTGTGCCAAGTGTAAAGTTTGGTGGAGGGGGATTATGGTGTGGGGTTGTTTTTCAGGGGTTGGGCTTGCCCCCTAGTTCCAGTGAAGGGAACACTTAAGGCGACATTTTGGACAATTTCATGCTGACAAGTTTGTGGGAAGAGTTTGGGGATGGCCCCTTCCTGTCCCAACATGACTGCCCACCAGTGCACAAAGCAAGATCCATAAAGACATGGAGGAGCCAGTTTGGGGTGGAGGAACTTGACTGTCCTGCACAGAGTCCTGACCTCAACCCCATAGCACACCTTTGGGATGAATTAGAGCGGAGACTGTGAGCCAGGCCTCCTCCCCCGACATCAGTGCCTGACCTGACAAATGTGCTTCTGGAAGATTGGTCAATCCTTCCTAAGACTGGGATGCCATTAACCGCTTCCTGACCGCCCAATACTGCTACAGGGTGGCACGGGTGTGCAAAATCACATATATATACGTGATTTTGCATTTCCCTACCTGCGCGGCTGTCAATCACCGGGTCCCGGACGGTAATTACTCATCGGTGCCTAGTGATTTCCGAAGAGCTCCGACAAGGAGAACGGTTCTGTTTACTAACAGTTCTCCTCCCTGTCAGCTCGGGCACACTGCACAGCACAACCATCCATATCAGTGTGAATACAGTGAAGCACACAGACCCCCCGCCCCCTAAAACACTCCCAGCCCACAGTTAACCCTTTGATCACCCATGTTAACCCCTTACTCCCCAGTGCCATTAGTACAGTGTCAGTGCTATGTTTAGCACTGATCACTGTATTGGTGTCACTGGGGATGTCAGTTCTCCCCCAGTGTCAGAATGCCCGCCGCAGTCCCGCTATATGTCGCCGATCACCGCCATTGCTAGTAAAAATAAAAAAAAAATCCCAGTATCTATACCGCCATTTGTAAACGCTATAGCTTTCACGTAAACCAATGAATTTACAGGTATTGGGATTTTTTTTAGCAAAGACACGGAGCAGAATAGAATTTTGGAGTAAATTTATAACAAATATTGATTTTTTTAATTTTTTTTTTACTCAATATGTTTCATACATTGTTTTTTTTTCTCAAAATAGTTTTTTTTCTTTTTTTAATATCGCAAAAAAAACAAAAAATGCACAGGCGATCAAATACCACCGAAAGAAAGCTCTATTTGTGGGAAAAAAGGACATAAATTTCATTTGGTTGCAGCGTTGCATGACCGCGCAATTATCAGTTAAAGTAACGCAGTGCCATAATGCAAAAAAATGGCCTGGTCAGGAAGGGGGGTAAATCCTGTGGACGGGTTAAAGTTCATGTGCGTGTAAAGGCAGGCGGCCCAATACTTTTGGCAATATAATGTATATGTGTAAAGGGCATCTACAGTTGCAAGAAAAAGTATGTGAACCCCTTGGGATTACGTGGAGTTTTGCATGAATTGGGCATAAAATGTGCTCTGAATGTCATCTAAGTCACAACAATAGAAGAACACAGTCTGCTGAACATAATACTACACAAACATTAGATGTTGCCATGGTTTAATTGCACATAACATGTAAACATTCACAGTGCAGGGAGGAAAAAGTATGTGAACCTTTGGACTTAATAACTGGTTGACCCTCCTTTGGCAGCAATAACCTCAACCAAACGTTTCCTGTAGTTGCAGATCAGACCTGCACAACGATCTGGAGTCATTTTGGACCACTCCTCTTCACAAAACTGTTTCAGTGTAGCAATATTCTTGGGATGTCTGGTGTGAATCGCTCTCTTAAGGTCATGCCACAGCATTTCAATGGGGTTGAGGTCAGGACTCTGACTGGGCCACTCCAGAAGGCGTATTCTGTGCTGTTGCAGCCATTGGTTTGTTGAATTACTTGTATGCTTTGGGTCATTGTCCTGTTGCATCACCCATCCTCTGCGGAGCTTCAGTTGGCGGACAGTCGGTCGTACGTTTTTTCCTGCAAAATGTCTTGATAAACTCTGGAATTCATTTTCCCATCAATGACAACAATCCGTCCAGGCCCTGAGGCAGCAAAGCAGCCCCAAACCATGATGCTCCCTCCGCCATGTTTCACAGTGGGGATGAGGTTTTGATGTTGGTGTGCTGTGCCTTTTTTTCTCCACACATAGTGTTGTGTGTTCTTCCCAAAACAACTCCATCTTGGTTTCATCTGTCCACAGTATATTTTGCCAGTAGTGCTGTGGAACATCCAGGTGCCCTTTTGCAAACTTCAAACGTGCTGCAATCTTCTTTTTGGACAGCAATGGCTTCCTCCGTGGTGTCCTCCCATGTACTCCATTCTTGTTTAATGTTTTCCTTATTGTAGATGTGTCAACAAAAATGTTAGCATGTGCCAGAGATTTCTGTAGGTCTTTAGCTGACACTCTGGGATTCTTCTTTACCTCATGCAGCATTCTGCACTGTGCTCTTGCAGTCATTTTTACAGGACGACCACGCCTAGGGAGAGTAGCAACAGTGCTAAACTTTCTCCATTTGTAGACAGTCTGTCTTACCGTGGACACATGAACATCAAGGCTCAAGGAGATACTTTTGTAACCCTTTCCAGCTTCATGCAAGTCAACAATTCTTGATGGTAGGTCTTCTGAGAGCTCTTTTCTGCGAGGCATGGTTCACATCAGACAGTGCTTCTTGAAACCAGTAAACCCAAAACAGGTGTCAGCAACACATCCAATATCATCACACTGATTGGAGTCAAGGTTGGCTCACTCCTGGCTCCAATTAGCTCTGGGAGAAGTCATTAAGCTAGGGCCTCACATACTTTTTCCTCCCTGCACTGTGAATGTTTACATGTTATGTGCAATTAAACCATGGCAACATCTAATGTTTGTGTAGTATTATGTTCAGCAGACTGTGTTCTTCTATTGTTGTGACTTAGATGACGTTGAGAGCACATTTTATGCCCAATTCATGCAAAACTTCACATAATCCCAAGGGGTTCACATATGTTTTCTTGCAACTGTAAATGGACAGACTTCAATGGAAAAAACACACGTGCAACAGAGACCCAAATTTTGGACCCCTAACATGGCAATGAAAATCCCACATGACTCGGGTACCTCAATATTCCCTCCGACCCTCGCTAAAAGTGCTGGGAGTGGCTTGTCCCGGTCGTTCTTCATTTGTCTTCGAGACTGTCTCCTTCCACCTAAGAGCCAAACAAAGCAAAATATAATCAGTGAACTCTAATAAAGGTGGCAATAAAGTCCCCGGCAGTTCCCTTCGTAAAGTTGCCAGACCTTTCCACTCAAAAGGGAACATTTGAAGATTGCTGGACCACTGCGGAGAGACCGCTGCTTTCTCAGAGACAGCACCATTCCTCCGTGCTGGGGAGTAGGTATAACATTTAAACATTTACATTCAGGACAGATTTAGACATCCTTGAAGACCCGACTTGCATTCGGATCACACTCCAGAGGCCACTGACCGGCAGTGAGGAAGCAAAGTGACGTCTCCTCATTGCCTGTTTTTACCCCATTTTGGAATTGTGGGGAGTTTTCACGTTTCTCCATTTACTTGAATGTGTATCGTTCAGTGGGCCACCGGTCACTGCAAGTTGGAGCATCGCGACCACATCATGTAAACACCCCCATATGCTGCCTAAGAGGAAGCGGTTGGTAGGTGGCAAAAACGCGGCTCAACCACACATTTGTGCCCCTATTTGCATGTCTCTAAATGAGGCCTTTAGTGATATTAAAGGTTAATTAAAAAAAAAAAAAAAAAAAACGATCATACTTACTAGCTCTGTGTAATGGGTTTGCACAGAGCAGCCCCAATCTTCTTTTTTTCCGGTGCCCCGCTGGTGTTGCTCCTGGCTCCTCCACCTTAACCAGTGCCCCCAATAGCAAGATACTTGCTATGGGGGCACTGGTGCCTGCTCGCTCCTGAGCTGAGCTCTATACGTCAATAAGACACAAAGCCATGGCTTAGCCCCGCCTCCTGATTTCTCCTCATTGGCTCATCTGCTGCCTACTGCAGCTTAAGGGGAAGTGGTTGGCAGGTGGCAAAAACGCGGCTCAATCACTCATTCGTGCCCCCATTTGCATGTCTAAATGAGGCCTTAAAGTGATATTAAAGGTTAGTTTAAAAAAAAAAAAAAAAAAAATAGCAAACAGGTCATACTTACTAGCTCTTTGTAATGGTTTTGCACAGAGCAGCCCCAATCCTCTTTTTTTCGGGTGCCCTGCTGGTGTTGCTCCTGGCTCCTCCACCTTGACCAGTGCCCCCAATAGCAAGATACTTGCTATGGGGGCACTGGTGCCTGCTCGCTCCTGAGCTGAGCTCAATAAGACACAAAGCCATGGCTCAGCCCCGCCCCCTGCTTTCTCCACATTGGCTCAATGGTTGTGATTGACAACAGTGGGAGCCAATGGCTCCTGCTGCTGTGTCTCTTCCAAGGTGGAGAGAGTGACCCAGGACAGCTGAGGCTCCCATGCACATTGCTGGATTGAGAGGGGGCTCAAGTGAGTATTAAGGGGGGACTGTGGGGGGAGCAGCACACAGAAGGTTTTTTTTAGCTTTATGGATAGAATAGATGAAGGTAAAAAAAACCTTCAGCTTTTTCAACCACTTTAGGCTTCCTGCTCCCTAATAAAAGTGGTTGTAAAGGCTCAAGGTTTTTTAACCTTCAAGCATTTTCTGTGCAGAATCCCCCCCAGCCCTCCCTAATACTCACCTAAGCCCCCTCTGGATACAGCGATGTGCACTGGAATCTTGGCTATCTCGGGACTCCTTCTCCTCATTGGCTGAGACAGCCAGTGAGCCAGTGAGAAGAGAGAGGGGCTCTCTGTGTGAATGGACCCACGGAGCAGCAGCTTGGGAACATGCCTGCTTGGGTGCCCCCATAGCAAGCTGCTTGCTGTAGGGCACCCAACAGGAAGAAGGGGCAAGGAGCACCATTGGGAGACCCGAGAAGAGGAGGATCCGGACTGATTAGTGCAAAACCATTACACAGAGCAGGCAAGTATGACATGTTTGTTGTTTTATATATATATATATATATATACATTTATTTTTTTTTATTTAAGCCTTTAGTATCACTTTAATTGTTAATCCATTTTTTGTAACATATAGAAACAAGAAGACGCTGCATGCCACCAGAGTGGCTTAGGAGGAGCTACATGCTGAGGCCGTTCAGATCACTCTTCAACAAATGAGCTGGCAGGATCTTCTTGTCTTTAAAATGCTCCAGCGATGCCCGGATTAAAGGATAGGTTCACCTTTTGACCAAAAATAATAAATGCACAGGTAAAAAATGTGCCTTCATTATTTTTGTCTGCAGGAGCCTGTAAACCATTGCACCAGCGATCAGCAGATTGCAGGTGCCATGCAAGTCTCCTGCAGACCTGTCAATGTACCTGCTTGCCTGTATGGGATGTACCCCTATTTATATGCTAATTAACTTGTTGTACTGGTTCTTGAAGCTCAGCACAGGAAATTATGTTGGCAGGAAGTAGGATGGAAAAGGACTTGAAGCACAGCCAGACAGCAGTTCTGCAGGACTCCAAGAAGCAAGGAGAGATCCTGGATAAATGGAAGAAGACTCCATCACCAGGAAGAAACAAGTTCAGTAAATGTTTAATGTATACCTATTGCATCCATTGCTAATTAACTTGTTGTACTGGTTCTTGAAGCTCAGCACAGGAAATTATGTTGGCAGGAAGTAGGATGGAAAAAAAACTTGAAGCACAGCCAGACAGCAGTTCTGCAGGACTCCAAGAAGCAAGGAGAGATCCTGGATAAATGGAAGGAGACCTCATCACCAGGAAGAACCAAGTTCAGTAAATGTTTAATGTATACCTATTGCATCCATTGCTAATTAACTTGTTGTACTGGTTCTTGAAGCTCAGCACAGGAAATTATGTTGGCAGGAAGTAGGATGGAAAAGAACTTGAAGCACAGCCAGACAGCAGTTCTGCAGGACTCCAAGAAGCAAGGAGAGATCCTGGATAAATGGAAGAAGACTCCATCACCAGGAAGAACCAAGTCCAGTAAATGTTTAATGTACACCTATTGCATCCATTGTCCATGCTCATTTGCTAGGAAGAATAGATAGCTTGTGCACGTGTACATTGTAAGTATATTTTTTGTGATACTCTGTATGTTGTGTATTGTTTTCCCTACAAGTACAACATATCTGTTTAGTAAAGCAAATTATTATACACTACAGAGGTTTTTTTTTTTTTTTTTTGCTTTCTTGCTTTTACAGCAAAGAACCTTAAAAGCCTCAAAGCAAAACATCTAGCTGTGGGAAGGATTGGAGAATCGGGAAAGCAGATTTCCTTTTATTGTTCCTTTAGACATAAATGAGAATGTAACCCTTGCAGTGCAGGCACAGCTCCTCTGCAGGAGATACGTTTGTTATTTGCCTGGAGCTGGGCTTTAATGGATATCCCTTGCCTTGTTTTTCCACCCATCTTGGTCGGTAAAGGTCTCAGCCTCAGTTGATCCAGCTAACTTGTCCAACAGAAATCCATATAGACATTAGGGAAAAGTTTAACTCACTCTGACCTTCAGGCTTCTCCTCAAAATCTTCGTCTTCATCCTCTGAGCCAACGGAATATTCTGATTGGTTGTCAGAGAGGTCATCTTGCCATTCTAGAAGAAAATAGAGAAGAGTGGATGTTAGGAGCGGATCTACGGGGGCAGCTGGTCAAGGACCAGGAGGGACTTATGTAGCTCGGGTGAGCATGTGAACCGCCACACTGACCAGCTCTGCCAGCCCTGAGATGGTGAGGACAAGTAGGCCAACAAAGCTCTCCACGGGAAGATGTTCTGAATCAGCCAGAGGTCACGGGTCATTTCAGATGTTCAGAATCAGCCTAATCCTAACCCAACCAGAAGGACACGCCAAGCAAAAGTGACACTTCAGATTTAGGTTGAGGAAGATTACAGGTTCTGCACGCAAGAAACGAAATCTCTGCTACAAAGCTCCCAGCTGCGCCTACTTTCCTCAGCCTGCAGGCCGCTCTTGGCTTGGGAGCGACACAAAAATGGAAACTTTGGTCAGGAGATGTCGACACTGGACTTCTGAAGAGAGGAGGTGACTTGCTGTAGGGGGTTCAAGCCACTAGTGTTCACATGGAACTGAAATATAAGTTTTGTATGGAGAAAGTAGCAGTGCAAATAGTAACCCACAGCAACCAGTTTCTGTAGTCCGGTGTCTAGTTATTGGTTGCCAGTGGTGATTGCACACGGCTAATGGTCACTTTGTGGCCTGATGAAAACGGAACCAAATGCAGGTGTGAAAGACGTATGTTTACAGTTTTACTTGTCAAAGGATTTGCAGTGTTGGTGGAAACGCTCACCTCTGCTACTCCGCAAAGTGTCTGTGCTTCCAGGGTCAACGACCTGCCGGCAGAGGTGATACAGCTGGTTCCCTGTCCAATGAGGAGGCTGGAGGCAGAGAGAGCCAACAAGGGAGGCTGCAGTGCTAAGCCATGAAGATTAGCTGCCTAAAGCAGTTGTAAAGGCTTATGTTCTTTCCTAATAAACACATTATACTTACCTGCTCTGAGCTCGAGTGGCCCCGAACCTCCTCATCTGGGGTCCCTGGCCAACACTCTCAACTTCTCTTTTGTGTGTGCCCACTTACTATGGAGATACACATGCAGACTTCCTCCCAAGCACTCACTATATCCACTCTCCCCGGACCCCGCATTCACTATATCCGCTCTCCCCGGACCCCGCATTCACTATATCCACTCTCCCCGGACCCTGCATTCACTATATCCACTCTCCCCGGACCCTGCATTCACTATATCCGCTCTCCCCGGACCCCGCATTCACTATATCCGCTCTCCCCGGACCCCGCATTCACTATATCCGCTCTCCCCGGACCCCGCATTCACTATATCCGCTCTTCTTGGACCCCACATTCACTATATCCGCTCTCCCCGGACCCGCATTCACTATATCCGCTCTCCCCGGACCCCGCATTCACTATATCCGCTCTCCCCGGACCCCGCATTCACTATATCCGCTCTCCCCGGACCCCGCATTCACTATATCCGCTCTCCCCGGACCCCGCATTCACTATATCCGCTCTTCCCGGACCCCGCATTCACTATATCCGCTCTCCCCGGACCCCGCATTCACTATATCCGCTCTCCCCGGACCCCGCATTCACTATATCCGCTCTCCACGGACCCCGCATTCACTATATCCGCTCTCCCTGGACCCCGCATTCACTATATCCGCTCTTCTTGGACCCCACATTCACTATATCCGCTCTCCCCGGACCCCGCGTTCGCTATATCCGCTCTCCCCGGACCCCGCGTTCGCTATATCCGCTCTCCCCGGACCCCGCGTTCGCTATATCCGCTCTCCCCGGACCCCGCGTTCGCTATATCCGCTCTCCCCGGACCCCGCGTTCGCTATATCCGCTCTCCCCGGACCCCGCGTTCGCTATATCCGCTCTCCCCGGACCCCGCGTTCGCTATATCCGCTCTCCCCGGACCCCGCATTCACTATATCCGCTCTCCCCGGACCCCGCATTCACTATATCCGCTCTCCCCAGACTCCGCATTCACTATATCCGCTCTCCCTGGACCCCGCATTCACTATATCCGCTCTCCCCGGACCCCGCATTCACTATATCTGGTCCCCCCGACCCCTGCATTCACTATATCCGCTCTCCCCGACCCCTGCATTCCCTATATCCGCTCTCCCCGGACCCCGCATTCACTATATTCGCTCTCCCTGGACCCCGCATTCACTATATCCACTCTCCCCGGACCCCGCATTCACTATATCTGGTCTCCCCGACCCCGCATTCACTATATCTGGTCCCCCCCGGACCCCACATTCACTATATCCGCTCTCCCCGAACCCCGCATTCACTATATCTGGTCTCCCCGGACCCCGCATTCACTATATCCGCTCTCACCGGACCCCGCATTCACTATATCCGCTTTTTTCCCCTGCAGGAGCAGATTGGATCGTGCTTTGCTGGGTTTTTTTGTCTTCCTCTGGATCAACTGTGGGTGGAGAATTATAACCTTTTTTTTTTTTTTCTATGGTTGAACTGGATGAACTTTTGTCTTTTTTCAGCCAGACTAACTATGTAACTATGTACAGAATCACAAATACCTTGGCAAGTAAAACAGTAAACCTGCTTTATACGTATGTATCCCTATATATTTGTCTGCCTGGAGTTCCACCTCAAGTAGGCCAGACGGCTCTGTACGATCCTGTGGTGCGTTCACTTGCATGCCTGCTATGTAAAGCAGCAAATACCCAAAAGTCATTTTTTTCTTTTTAGAGAGACTTGCTTGAAAATATCTGGCAACGTCCCCCCACATGTGCTAAAAACTTCTGCCCATAACATGGGGGAGATCATACATACCGCATGGAGGTGGTTTCTTGCTTTCAAAAAAAAAAAAAAAAAAGAAAAAGACCACCGCAGTCAGTCCTTGCTCGCGTCGAATAGAACGCCATATTATATATATATAAAAAAAAAAATTCTCATGAAAGCGGCATTGCGGAGGCACGCTGGGTTGGTCATGTGACAGGAATCCATGCATCAGAGTGTTTTGGTTGTAAGTTATATTTAATGATTAGTACCGCGCATATCACCTTGATCCTCCTGAGACGCATCATTGTAGTTGACTTGCTTACGGATCCGCTTTCCTTTCCCAAGATTCCTGGCAAGGTCCTCCTGCTGCTGCTCATAATGGTGACGCAGCAGCTTCTCCCAGTAATCGGGGTCCACGTTCTCCTCTTGTTTGATGATTTCCCGTTCTACTTCCTCCTGGAGTTAAATGAAACACTCGCTACGTAAACATAGTAATGCCAGAAAGCGATCACAAAGGAAACAAAGCCCAATAAAACCAAGCAGTAAGGCAGAGGAAGTATTACAGGTCAGCAAAGCATTGCAGGGAAATGGAAAGACGGCGCTGGACCCGCAGGTACACACCACTGGTATGGTTATCGTAAGATATTACCACTTCCCGTCCGGCCCGTGTATGTAAACGGCCGGACGGTGGCAGTGCAGGGGCGGGTGGCCGTTTATAAACATGCTCCCTGCCCCCTGCTTGTGCATGCTTCCTGGGAGCGCGCAACACCGCGATCTGGTGCCCGCTGTGTCCTCCGGACCGAGTGGAACACCAATCGTTGTACGGGACCTCTGTGTGAGGTCCCGATCATGTGATCACCAGGGGTGGACTGACAATTCATGGGGCCCCCGGGCAGTAGGGGATCATGGGGCCCCTGTGTCCTTGCCCAAACTCAAAAAAGCCTATGAAAAAGGTACCAGAGGCATCTCATGGGGCCCCCTACTGACCCCGGGCCCTCAGGCAGTGCCCGAGTTTCCAAAAGGTCAGTCCGCCCCTGGTATGGACACCGAGGATAACATGCTGGGGGGGTTTACTGGCTGTAGAAAAAAAAAAACATCAAACGCCAAAAACATCTGCTGTAAAACGTTTGGTGTGCAGGAGGGCTCACACTGCAAAGGATTCCACACTGGAGAGGTGACTATGTGCACAAGGGGTTACAAATGGAAGGATCAAGGCCACTTTCAGAGGGGGTGGACCTGTTGGTGGATCCACTTGCTCCACGGTTGCAAATGGATGACAGGTCCGCTGCAGAGTGGACACAGACACAGCCTGCTGTTCTCTACGGGAAACCGACACCTGTCTGTCATCCGAGCCGTCTGCTCTTAGAGTACAGGATGGGATTTGATATCGGCGGGTGTCAGCGAACACATGTCCACTGACACCCGCCGGTCCATAGAGGGCTATGGATGGTCTGATCGGGTACGTCTGAAAAACCAACATGCGGCCCTGATTGGACCGTCCGTGTGAAAAGGGACCCAAGTGTTAGGATTACAGGGTGTTAGGATTGCGGTGAGGGTCAAGGCAAGGATTAGTATGAGGGTTACAAAGTGGGCTATTGTGGGGGGGTTACAGGGAAAGAAGTTGGAAGGGATACTCTGAGGGGTAGAGGGGAGGGCTGGAGTGACAGAAGTACAAGGAAAGGGTCGGAGTTCCGGGTTACAAAGAAGTAATGTATATAATGATACAATGTATAATGGAATGTATATAATGATACAATGTATAATAGGATGAATATAATGATACAATGTATAATAGGATGTATATAATGATACAATGTATAATAGGATGTATATAATGATACAATGTATAATCAAATGTATATAATGATACAATGTATAATAGATAGTATATAATGATACAATGTATAATGGGATGTGTATAATGATACAATGTATAATGGAATGTATATAATGACACAATGTATAATAGGATGTATATTATGATACAATGTATAATAGGATGTATATAATGATACAATGTATAATATGAAGTATATAATGATACAATGTATAATAGAATGTATATAATGATACAATGTATAATGGAATGTATATAATGATAAAATGTATAATGGGATGTATATAATGATACAATGTATAATAGAATGTATATAATGATATAATGTATAATAGATGTATACAATGATACAATGTATAATGGGATGTGTATAATGATACAATGTATAATGGAATGTATATAATGACACAATGTATAATAGGATGTATATAATGACACAATGTATAATAGGATGTATATAATGACACAATGTATAATAGGATGTATATAATGATACAATGTATAATAGGAATGTATATAATGATACAATGTATAATAGAATGTATATAATGATACAATGTATAATAGGATGTATATAATGATACAATGTATAATAGGATGTATATAATGATACAATGTATAATAGGATGTATATAATGATACAATGTATAACAGAATGTATATAATGATACAATGTATAACGGAATGTATATAATGACACAATGTATAATAGAAAGTATATAATGATACAATGTATTTCTCTTCTCCATTAATAGAGAAAAAAAACAAGGGGGCTGGGCTGTACAGTGACTGATCACCGTGATAGCTAATCAGAGGCTTTCACAGCGATCTTGTGACCTGGAATTGTTAGTCCTGGGTCACGATCGTTAGAACGGGACCCGGGGCTCTCAGTGACACCCCGATCTTTGTGCTGAAAGACAGGTACTCAAATATGCGGCCCCCATGGAAATAAAGCCCAGTTCTGTGAGGCCACCTATTTGCGTGACGTCGGTGTGAAGGGGTTAATGGGCAGCCTTAGAACAGACAAATCCTGTGGATAAAGATGGGCGCTGACATGTAGTAGAATTTACTTCTGTCCTGATTGCTGCATCACTAACCCATCTCCACAATTTCCCTCCATAGTATGTAGAGGAGAACATTCGTTCACACAAAAGGATCATTCCAATTTCATTACTTAGGGAACACAGGAGGACCTCAAATACGTAATTCTTCCTCACAGGAGAACTGTAAAATCGTTTCTCTCATTCCCTGCGGTAGATGGTATTTAGTGGAGTTCTCCTTCAAAGAACAGTTGCTCGGGTATAAACAAAGAACATTTTACCACTCCGTCCTCCTCCCGCACAACATACTGAGCCACTTTGAAAGAGCTCAGGTACTCGTTCATATTCTGGATTTCGGTGTCCTCTGTAGCGTCTTGGTTCCGGTCCAGGAGTTTTGAGATGGCGCCATCATCATAATGGATGACGCTGCTGTCCTCAACATCCTTATTGTCACCTGCAGGGTATAGAGGTGTATTAGTTCCACAAACACGAACGATTTGTTACTGCGGTTTCTGCGACAAGGGTGTAAAGATTGTGTGTTTAGTGACCCACAGCAAGCCAATCATCTTCCAGCTCTATAGAGGTGGCAGTAAAAGGCTTCTTACCCCCAGTTCACAAATATGCGGCTGTGTGGGCCGTGTTTTGCACGGGCATGACAGCCCACTCATTTGAATGGACTCCCGTGCCCGTGACACGCTGGGAAGAAGTCCCTGCACTTCTTTTGAATACGCAGTCGAGGT